AATTTTCACTTTTAAAAAAGTCGTCTAAAAATTCTGAAAAAATTCAGGGACGTAGATCTCGACGAGCTGGTTCCAAAAATATAGCTTGTTGATGGTCGCGGAGCGACATTTTCGAAGAAATCGCTACGAAATGCCTAATTTATGGAAATTTCAAAAATTTCGATATTTCAATCGTCGATATTGGAAAAACGGTTGCAGCTATCAAAGAATCGAGGCCGGAAGTGTGTTCTACGGCTCGAAATCTACAAGAAAATGTACTCAGTTAGGTTTAGAAAATGTCAAAATTTCGTCGAAATTTGAAGAAGGGGGGAACATTGGAAAATTTTCACTTTTAAAAAAGTCGTCTAAAAATTCTGAAAAAATTCAGGGACGTAGATCTCGACGTGCTGATTCCAAAAATATAGCCTATTGATGGTCGCGGAGCGACATTTTCGAAGAAATTGGTACGAAATACCTAATTTATGTAAATTTCAAAAATTTCGATATTTCAACCGTCGATACTGGAAAAACGGTTGCAGCTATCAAAGAATCGAGGCCGGAAGTGAGTTCTACGGCTCGAAATCTACAAGAAAATGTACTCAGTTAGGTTTCGAAAATGTCAAAATTTCGGCGAAATTTGAAGAAGGGGGGACCATTGGAAAATTTTCACTTTTAAAAAAGTCGTCTAAAAATTCTGAAAAAATTCAGGGACGTAGATCTCGACGTGCTGATTCCAAAAATATAGCCTGTTGATGGTCGCGGAGCGACATTTTCGAAGAAATCGGTACGAAAGGCCTAATTTATCGAAATTTGAAAAATTTCGATAATTCAACCGTCGATTCTGGAGAAACGGTTGCAGCTATCAAAGAATCGAGGCCGGAAGTGAGTTCTACGTCTCGAAATCTACAAGAAAATGTACTCAGTTAGGTTTCGAAAATGTCAAAATTTCGGCGAAATTTGAAGAAGGGGGCACCATTGGAAAATTTTCACTTTTAAAAAAGTCGTCTAAAAATTCTGAAAAAATTCAGGGACGTAGATCTCGACGTGCTGATTCCAAAAATATAGCCTGTTGATGGTCGCGGAGCGACATTTTCGAAGAAATCGGTACGAAAGGCCTAATTTATGGAAATTTCAAAAATTTCGATATTTCAACCGTCGATACTGGAAAAACGGTTGCAGCTATCAAAGAATCGAGGCCGGAAGTGAGTTCTACGGCTCGAAATCTACAAGAAAATGCACTCAGTTAGGTTTCGAAAATGTCAAAATTTCGGCGAAATTTGAAGAAGGGGGGACCATTGGAAAATTTTCACTTTTAAAAAAGTCGTCTAAAAATTCTGAAAAAATTCAGGGACGTAGATCTCGACGTGCTGATTCCAAAAATATAGCCTGTTGATGGTCGCGGAGCGACATTTTCGAAGAAATCGGTACGAAAGGCCTAATTTATCGAAATTTCAAAAATTTCGATAATTCAACCGTCGATTCTGGAGAAACGGTTGCAGCTATCAAAGAATCGAGGCCGGAAGTGAGTTCTGCGTCTCGAAATCTACAAGAAAATGTACTCAGTTAGGTTTCGAAAATGTCAAAATTTCGGCGAAATTTGAAGAAGGGGGCACCATTGGAAAATTTTCACTTTTAAAAAAGTCGTCTAAAAATTCTGAAAAAATTCAGGGACGTAGATCTCGACGTGCTGATTCCAAAAATATAGCCTGTTGATGGTCGCGGAGCGACATTTTCGAAGAAATCGGTACGAAAGGCCTAATTTATGGAAATTTCAAAAATTTCGATATTTCAACCGTCGATACTGGAAAAACGGTTGCAGCTATCAAAGAATCGAGGCCGGAAGTGAGTTCTACGGCTCGAAATCTACAAGAAAATGTACTCAGTTAGGTTTCGAAAATGTCAAAATTTCGGCGAAATTTGAAGAAGGGGGGACCATTGGAAAATTTTCACTTTTGAAAAAGTCGTCTAAAAATTCTGAAAAAATTCAGGGACGTAGATCTCGACGTGCTGATTCCAAAAATATAGCTTGTTGATGGTCGCGGAGCGACATTTTCGAAGAAATCGGTACGAAATGCCTGATTTATGGAAATTTCAAAAATTTCGATATTTCAACCGTCGATTCTGGAAAAACGGTTGCAGCTATCAAAGATTCGAGGCCGGAAGTGAGTTCTACGGCTCGAAATCTACAAGAAAATGTACTCAGTTAGGTTTCGAAAATGTCAAAATTTCGGCGAAATTTGAAGAAGGGGGGACCATTGGAAAATTTTCATTTTTAAAAAAGTCGTCTAAAAATTCTGAAAAAATTCAGGGACGTAGATCTCGACGTGCTGATTCCAAAAATATAGCCTGTTGATGGTCGCGGAGCGACATTTTCGAAGAAATCGGTACGAAAGGCCTAATTTATGGAAATTTCAAAAATTTCGATATTTCAACCGTCGATACTGGAAAAACGGTTGCAGCTATCAAAGAATTGAGGCCGGAAGTGTGTTCTACGGCTCGAAATCTACAAGAAAATGTACTCAGTTAGGTTTAGAAAATGTCAAAATTTCGGCGAAATTTGAAGAAGGGGGGACCATTGGAAAATTTTCACTTTTAAAAAAGTCGTCTGAAAATTCTGAAAAAATTCAGGGACGTAGATCTCGACGTGCTGATTCCAAAAATATAGCCTGTTGATGGTCGCGGAGCGACATTTTCGAAGAAATCGGTACGAAAGGCCTAATTTATCGAAATTTCAAAAATTTCGATAATTCAACCGTCGATTCTGGAGAAACGGTTGCAGCTATCAAAGAATCGAGGCCGGAAGTGAGTTCTGCGTCTCGAAATCTACAAGAAAATGTACTCAGTTAGGTTTCGAAAATGTAAAAATTTCGGCGAAATTTGAAGAAGGGGGCACCATTGGAAAATTTTCACTTTTAAAAAAGTCGTCTAAAAATTCTGAAAAAATTCAGGGACGTAGATCTCGACGTGCTGATTCCAAAAATATAGCCTGTTGATGGTCGCGGAGCGACATTTTCGAAGAAATCGGTACGAAAGGCCTAATTTATGGAAATTTCAAAAATTTCGATATTTCAACCGTCGATACTGGAAAAACGGTTGCAGCTATCAAAGAATCGAGGCCGGAAGTGAGTTCTACGGCTCGAAATCTACAAGAAAATGCACTCAGTTAGGTTTCGAAAATGTCAAAATTTCGGCGAAATTTGAAGAAGGGGGGACCATTGGAAAATTTTCACTTTTAAAAAAGTCGTCTAAAAATTCTGAAAAAATTCAGGGACGTAGATCTCGACGTGCTGGTTCCAAAAATATAGCTTGTTGATGGTCGCGGAGCGACATTTTCGAAGTAATCGGTACGAAATGCCTAATTTATGTAAATTTCAAAAATTTCGATATTTCAACCGTCGATACTGGAAAAACGGTTGCAGCTATCAAAGAATCGAGGCCGGAAGTGAGTTCTACGGCTCGAAATCTACAAGAAAATGTACTCAGTTAGGTTTAGAAAATGTCAAAATTTCGTCGAAATTTGAAGAAGGGGGGACCATTGGAAAATTTTCACTTTTAAAAAAGTCGTCAAAAAATTCTGAAAAAATTCAGGGACGTAGATCTCGACGTGCTGATTCCAAAAATATAGCCTGTTGATGGTCGCGGAGCGACATTTTCGAAGAAATCGGTACGAAAGGCCTAATTTATCGAAATTTCAAAAATTTCGATATTTCAACCGTCGATATTGGAAAAACGGTTGCAGCTATCAAAGAATCGAGGCCGGAAGTGAGTTCTACGGCTCGAAATCTACAAGAAAATGTAGCCAGTTACGTTTCGAAAATGTCAAAATTTCGGCGAAATTTGAAGAAGGGGGGACCATTGGAAAATTTTCACTTTTAAAAAAGTCGTCTAAAAATTCTGAAAAAATTCAGGGACGTAGATAGCACGTTGTTGATCACGAGGCAACATTTTCGAAAAAATCGGTACGAAATGCGAATTTTTCAAAATTTCTAAAAATTCTGGAAGAACGGTTCGAATTATCAAAGAAACAAGGCCAGAAGTGAGTTCTAGAGCTCAAAATCCACAAGAAAATGTGTTTAGTTAAGTTTCGAAAATGTCAAAAATTGGCCGAAATTTGAAGAACGGAAAAATTTCACTTTTAAAAAAGTTGTCTAAAAATTCTCAAAAAATTCAGGCACGTAGATCTCGACGTGCAGATACCAAAAATATAACATGTTTATATTCATCGCACGTTTTCAAAATATTAGGTTTCAAAGTCGAATTTTCCAAAATTCGAAAATTTTTTTCGGTGCAAACAATTTCAGACCAACTTAATTTCCGCAAAAAATTTAGTTTCGTTTATAAATATTTACCCTCTTTTGGAATTCATAGTAGTAATACTGTTTTAAGAATCACGAAACATTAATAAATAAAATTTACTTAGCTATCTCCTGGGGAAGTTGATGACGTCTCTCAAAAATGACCAAACCAATCTCTCTTGAAAAGTACGTTAAACAGCATTTTGTAAAATTAAAATGCCATTTGGTGTAACCCAGGGAATCCATCTTGGCTAATTGCTATTTAATCTACACATAAATGATGTTTCTGAGTAGGTTACTAATCCTTACATAGGACGTTCGATTATCTTAGAACCGGTTCATCGAATTTCGCTCAAATTACCGGAACACAGAAACGTTTTGATTAGTGTTACATTTGACGTGTCAAGGTGAGCATGTTTACCCCTACCAGAAAATAATGACGTCAATGGGTCTATTAACATACCAAGAAACTATTTCCGAAAACAAGCTAAATCGTGCTGTATAAATATGTATTAGGTTTGCTAAATTTTCTTATACAAATTGGGTACTAATTTATTTTAATCCGTAATTAATATATCTGTCACCGATCATCTAAATAATCGACCGGAAAAATGCTATGGGAAAATATACGAATGGCAAGGTCATGGCTTCTGAAACAGAGAGCAGCTGCAACAGTTTACAAAATAATCGTCTTATATAAACCAAATGTCACATAAAACTATAGAAATTGTCTAATTTTTTATTCTTGTTGCTATTCACAATGACGTAACATCATATTTGCGTTCTTAAGACACTCTTAATTGACCTACAGATCCCCCTATCACACTAATTAGAGGAAGGTCAGTCATATTTAATGGCAAATTCTGCGTAACTACGAAATTAATAATTATTTACACAAGACCGCCTGAAGCCGTACCTGAACAAAACAAAACTCAACCTACACTCAACTCATCAAAAAAATTTTAAAAACGCGTAAAAATATTTTCCCCAATCTTAAACATCCCGAACATTTAACTAAATCAATACAGAACCCACTCACACTAAAAATACACTGACCTTCACAACCGTCTATAAAATTTCACTTTTGAAATATTAATTGCATATCAATACACAAACAAATTGACAAATCAAAACCATCAGGATTTGCTCTATTTTTACCCAAATTATACGCTCTTGGTCTTGTCTTCCCAGTCCGCCCAGCCCCCAGCGTAATTCTTGGCATTCTTAAAACCTAACCGAGCCGCCGTCTGCTGAGCGCTAGCGCTCCGCTTCCCCATGTAACACGAAAAAATAATCGGCGTGGAAAAGTCCGGTTTCGGGGTGTTATAGCGCTTTTGAAACTCGTCGGGCGATAGACAACCCAAAACCGACTCGACTTCACCCAGCGGGATATTGATACTGTGGGGAAGGACCCCGGTTTCTTGGAGTTCAGAGGGCTCTCGAACGTCTATCAGGACAGTGTCTTTGAGATTCTTAACCGACTTTACGTCTTCAAAGGAGGCGATGGAGTTGGTGCGGAGGAGCGACGAAGTTGTTAATGGTCGGTTTACATGGTGCAGGGTGCGTGGGACCCGCGCCACGAGCGAGAAAAGGCGCCCCCCGATCGACATAACCTACAAATTGGAGGTTTTAAAAGTGACAATCGAAGTAAACAGGTGGGTTTAGGGTACTGTGGATGTGTTTTTACCACGTCTTTTAGGTTCAAATCGGAGTTTTTTTTTCTAAGATTTGTAAATTTTCATGGTTTTTAGTATAGTTGTCAAATTTGGTGACTTTTGCACAACAGTGCCAACCCCACTCATATAAAGTTTCGTGCAAAATTTCAATTTTGAGTTTGACATGGATTAATATAGATGCGACATACATGCAGATTTTGCAAAACCACCCTTATTGACATTGGAGTCCTCAAGCGGCAAAGGCAAGCGCCAAATTTAAATAGTCTAAAACTTTTTGTGATAATTTTTGTGGTTGTTCTCGATACACTGTATGATATGAAGAGTGAGAAAAAAAAATAATCGAAAAAACGAAACCTTAAAAAATCGTAAAACCGAAACATTGAAAAATCTAAAATTCAGCAATTTATAAATTGAGAAATTGACAATCAAAATATCGAAAAATCCAAATCTCGATAAATCGAGAAATCAAAAAACTTAAAAATTCGAAAAATTGAAAAATTGGGAGATTGAAAGATCAAAAGAACAAGAAATCGAAAGGGAATGAAGTGGAAAAATAAAAAAATAGAGAAATCGACAAACAAAAAGTTAAAAGTTGAAAAATTGGAAAAGCGGAAAAATCAAAAAACGAAAAATTGGAAAACTGGAAAAACTGAGAAACCGAAATAGGCCAAAAGAAAAAATTGAAAAACTTATAAATCGAAAACCTGAACAATCAAATCTCGATAAATCGGGAATGAAAAATTAACAAATCGAAAAATTGAAAAACAGAACATCTAAAACCAGGAAGTCGGAAAATCGAAAGATTAAGAAATATTAAAAAATTAAAATATCAAAATATTGAAAAATCTAAAAAAATAAAAAAATCGAAAATTTGGCAAAATGACAATTCAAAAACAGAAAATCTAAAACCGGGAAGTCGAAAAATCAAAAGATTAATAAATCGAAACATTTGAAAAATTCGAAAACTTCGAGAAAATTGAAATATCGAAGAACTGAAATGAAAAATCGAGAAACCGAAAAATCTAAAATTTTAAAAATAAAAAAATCTAAAATTGAAAAATTGAAAAATTGAAAAAGTAAAAAAATGGACACATCGAAAAATCCAGGAGTCAAAAATAGAAAAGTCCTAGAATTGAAATATTGAAAAATCCCAAAACTGAAATATTGAAAAACTAAAAATGAAAGAAAAACTAAAAATTGGGAAATCAAAACATTGAAAAATCGAAAAAAACCACGACAATTGAAAACAGAAAATCTAAAATCGAAAAGTCGAAGAATCAAAATATTGAAATATCGAAAAACTGAAAAATGAAAGAAAAACTGAAAAATTAAAAAATCCAAAAATTGAAAAATCGAAAAAGTAAAAAGGTAGACACATCGAAAAATCCAGAAGTCAAAAACAAAAAATAGAAAAGCCGAAGAATTGAAATATTGAAAAATTGAGAGATTGAAAGATCAAAAGAATGAGAAATTGAAAGGTGATGAAGTCGAAAAATCGAAAGATTAAGAAATATTGAAAAAATAAAATATCAAGATAGATTTTAAAAATTCAAAAATTAAAAAATCCAAAAAGTGAAAAGGTAGACAGAACGAAAACTCCAGAAGTCAAATATCTAAAATATCTAAAAACTGCAAAATCGAAAAATCAAAAAACTGAAGTTGAAAAATAGAAACCTTAAAAAATCGAAAAATTGAAAAATCAAAAACCTGAAAAATAAAAAAATTAAAGAATTGAAGAACAGGAAAATCGAAACACTCGAAGGTCAAGAAATAGGGAATTCAAAACATGGATTAATTGAAAAATCGAAAAATTCAGAGTTTATAAAAGTCAAATTTGAAAAATTTAAAAATCTAAAATTTGACAAAATGACAATTAAAAAATAGAAAATCTAAAACCGGGAAGTCGAAAAATCAAAAGCTTAAGAAATCGAAACATTTGAAAAATTCGAAAATTTTAAAAATGAAAAAAATCTAAAATTAAAAAATCGAAAAATTTAAAAATCGAAAAAGTAAAAAAATCGACACATCGAAAAATCCAGGAGTCAAAAATGGAGATATTGAAAAATTCCAAAACTGAAATATCGAAAAACTGAAAAATGAAAGAAAAACTAAAAATCTGGAAATCAAAACATTGAAAAATCGAAAAAAAACACGACAATTGAAAACAGAAAATCTAAAATCGAAAAGTCGAAGAATCAAAATATTGAAATATCGAAAAACTGAAAAATGAAAGAAAAACTGAAAAATGGAAAACCTGGAAAATCCGAAAACTGAAGTATCAAAAAACTGAGAACATAAAAAGTCGAAAAATTGAGCAAGCGAGAAATCCAAAAAGTGAACTCGAAAAATCGAAACCTTAAAAAAACTAAAAAATGAAAAATCAAAAACCTGAAAAATCGAAAAATTAAAGAATTGAAGAACAGGAATATCGAAACCCTCAGAAGTCAAAAAATGGGAAAATCAAAACATCGATTAATTGAAAAATCGAAAATTTGGAAAAACGACAATTGAAAAACAGAAAATCTAAAACCGAAAAGTCGAAAAATCGATAGATTAAGAAATTAAAGCATTGAAAAATTCGAAAACTTGAAAAACTGAAATATGGATGAACTGAAATGAAAAATCGAGAAATCGGAAAATCTATTTTAAATATTGAAAAATTAAAATATCAAAAAACTGAAAAATCTAAAATTTAAAAATCGAAAAATTGAAAAACAGAACATCTAAAACCAGGAAGTCCAAAAATCGAAAGATTAAGAAATATTGAAAAAGGAAAATATCAAAAGGTTGAAAAATCTAAAATTTAACAATCCAAAAATTGAAAAATCCAAAAAGTAAAAAGGTAGACACATCGAAAAATCCAGAAGTCAAAAATAGAAAAGGCGAAGAATTGAAATATTGAAAAATCCTAAAACTGAAATATCTAAAAACTGAAAAATCAAAAAATCAAAAAACTGAAATCGAAAATAGAAACCTTAAAAAATCGAAAAGTTGAAAAATCAAAAACCTGAAAAATCAAAAAATTAAAGAATTGAAGAACAGGAAAATCGAAACACTCGAAGGTCAAGAAATGGGAAAATCAAAACATCGATTAATTGAAAAATCGAAAAATTGAGAGTTTATAAAAGTCAAATTTGAAAAATTAAAAAATCGAAAATTTGACAAAATGACAATTGAAAAACAGAAAATCTAAAACCGGGAAGTCGAAAAATCAAAAGATGAAGAAATGGAAACATTTGAAAAATTCGAAAACTTGGAAAATTTTGAAATATCGATGAACTGAAATGAAAAATCGAGAAATCGGAAAATTAAAATTTTTAAATATTGAAAAATTAAAGTATCAAAAAACTGAAAAATCTAAAATTTCAAAACCGAAAAATTGAAAAAACGACAATTGGAAAGCAGAAAATCTAAAACCGGGAAGTCGAAAAATCGAAAGATCAAGAAATCGAAACATTTGAAAAATTGAAATACGCAAGAGATGAAATGAAAAATCGAGAAATCGAACAATCTAAAATTTTAAATATTGAAAAATTAAAATACCAAAAAATTGAGAATCTAATTTAAAAATCGAAAAGTCGAAGAATCGAAATATTGAAACATCCCAAAACTGAAATATCGAAAAACTGGAAAATGGAAAATCTGGAAAATCTGAAAACTGAAGTATCAAAAAACTGAGAACCTAAAAAGTCGAAAAATTGAGGAAGCGAGAAATCCAAAAAGTGAACTCAAAAAATCGAAACCTTAAAAAAACTAAAAAATGAAAAATCGAAAACCTGAAAAATCGAAAAAAATAAGAATTGAAGAACAGGAATATCGAAATCCTCAAAAGTCAAGAAATGGGAAAATCAAAACATCGATTAATTGAAAAATAGAAAAATTGACAGTTATAAATGTCAAATTTGAAAAATTGAAAAATCGAAAATTTGAAAAATTCGAAAACTTGAAAAACTGAAATATCGATGAACTGAAATGGAAAATCGAGAAATCGGAAAATCTAAAATTTTAAATATAGAAAAATTAAAACATCAAAAAACTGAAAAATCTAAAATTTAAAAATCGAAAAATTGAAAAAACGACAATTGAAAAACAGAAAATCTAAAACCGGAAAGTCGAAAAATCAAAAGATTAAGAAATCGAAATATTTGAAAAATTGAAATAATGGAAGAGATGAAATGAAAAATCGAGAAATCGAAAAGTCAAAAATTTTAAATATTAAAAAATTAAAATATGTACCAAAAAATTGAGAAATCAAAAAATCCAGAAGTCAAAACTGGAAAAGTCCAAGAACAGAAATACTGGGAAAAATTGGGAATAAAAAAAGTGAAGTCGAAATATCGAAACCTTAAAAAAATCGAAAAATTGAAAAATCAAAAACCTGTAAAATCCTAAGATCGAAAAATTGAATAACAAGTAAACTGAAAAATTCCAAAACTGAAATGTCCAAAAACTGAGAAATTAAAAAATTGAAAAATTGAGAAATCAAAAAATAAAAAAAGTGAAGTTGAAAAATCGAAACCTGAAAAAATAGAAAAATTGAAAAATCAAAAAACCTGAAAAATCAATTAATTGAAAAATTGACAAATAAAGAATTTATAAAAGTCAAAAATTGAAAAATCGAAATATTTAAAAATCGTAAAATTGAAGAGAATAACTGAAAACCGAGAAATTGAAAAATTGAGAAATTGTAAAATCCAAAAATTGAATAATAAATAGGAGTAAACGGAACAGTCCCCAAACTGAAATTTCGAAAAATTGAGAATTCCAAAGTTGAAACAGCAAGAAATTATGGTCGTTAAAAATATTATGACATTTTTTCTAGTTAATTTTATTCCTAGTTAGAAACAAACACTGCTGCCAACATAAGCCGCGGACTCCTGAACGTGCCTGAACCGTCATTTAATTTAAACTATGACGCTTGTCTATGTTCTCTGGTTCATCTTCAGTACGTGTGTTTCATAGTTTCGTCTGGTGTATTTCATCGCTTGCCGTTGGCGTCCTCACATCAACAAACATAACCTCACTTTCCGGTTTACCGACCCCCGATTTTTGGTTACCGTTTCGCAAAAATGGCCAACGCGAACACAGACTTGACCGAAGAAGACGCCGCGGACTTGCAGTTCCCCAAAGGTGAGGCTCCTTTTGACTTTGGCGCGTCTACCCATGTCTAATTTCAGACGAGGCCCCCTCTTCGCTTTTCAGTGAAAGCGACAGTGTGTGCGCGAATTGTGCGTCCGAGTTAGTGTGCCCCCATATATTTTGTGCGCTGTGTAAAATCGACATTTGCGTGGGGTGTTTTTCGCGCGGGGCGGAGTTCGGGGGCCACAAAAACGACCACGATTACCACATTCTCAGAGACAGTTTTAACTTGTTTGAAAATAGTGACTGGACGGCGAAAGAGGAGGAGGTGCTCCTGGAGGCTTTGCAGAGGTACGGGAACTGGAATTTAGTGGCGAAGGAGCTCCCGAATCGGACTATTCGGGAGATTAAAACCCACTATGATCAGTTTTATTTAGAGAGACGGGGGTCTGATAATTTACCAAAGATTAAAGAGACTGGGGCGTCGGTGTTTATAGAGCCGATTGTTCCGTATAGATTTAGGATCAATGATACGGAGGAGCCCCCTCGCTATTCTCCGAACACGGTGGGGTACAAGTCTTTGGCGGGTTATAACCCTGCTAGGTCCGACTTTGAATGTGAGTTTGACTCGACTGCTGAAGATTTATTGTCGAATTTAAAATCCACGGAACGCGATGACCCCCATTTTGAACTTATAACGAATTTGCAGTGTGGGATGATCGGGGCTTATAATAGGCGACTCGTGGAGCGCCAGCGCTGGAAAAAAATTATTCGAAGTCACGGGTTGATCGTCCCCCGGAAACTACAAGCCTGGTTGCACCGCTACGACGTCACTATCACTCGACCAGTGTACGAAAAGCTGATTCGTTTCATGCAATTTTGTACCCCCGTGCAGTTCGAGATGTTAATGGAGGGGCTGCACCGAAGCGGCGAGCTCAAGATACAAATAATAAGACTGTGCGAACTGCGGCAGAGGGGCATCACGTCTCTATCCGACGCCCGGTTGTACCTCAAGCTCAAACAAGTCCACGATCAGTGTGAAACTGAACTGAAATCGTTCCACTCCAACGCCCAATTCAACTGGAAACTCTCCAACCGCAACCTCCCCGTGGACCTCCCTTTCACCAAAAAGAAGTCCGGTTTCACCCCCATCGAGATCGTCGGGATGCCCGGCTACGAAAAGCTCACCCCCTCAGAGCGCGATTTATGCCGCACCGTGCGCCTCGTCCCCATCAGCTACCTCGAGCTCAAAGACATCCTGGTTTCCGAGAACAAGAAAATGGGCTCCATCAAGCTCAAAACCGCCCGCAAAATTCTCAAAATCGACGTGAATAAAACGCGCCGTTTGTACGATTTTCTGGTGCAAGAGGGTTACATTGTTAAGCCTGCGTCTTGATTAATATAGTTTTTGAATTGAGTCGTTTGTCGTTTTTGTTTAGTTTTAATGTTGGGACCTTGCAGAGTTTGAGAACGCGGAGACGCTGCTCATTTCGGAGGTGCACATGCTGCTGGAGCACCGGAAGGCGCAGAACGAGTCGGCGGAGGACGAGCAGGAGTTCTCGGACGTGTTCATGAAGACGCTGACGTACACGGATAGGTTTAGGAAGTTCAAGAACAAGGAGACGATCTCGGCGGTCCGGAAGTAAGTGGGGTGGGTGTTGTGGGGCTGTGGTTATGGTTTTGTTGTAGTTTGTTGATGCAGAAGAAGCTGCACAAGTTCGAGCTGGCGGCGATCGCGAATTTGTGCCCGGAGACGACCGAGGAGGCGAAGTCGCTGATTCCGTCGTTGGAGGGAAGGTTCGAGGATGAGGAGCTGCAGGCGGTGTTGGACGATATTCAGACCAAGAGGAGCATTCAGTACTGACGTGTGGAGATTGTTTTTTAATTTGTATTTTTTTACGATGGTTGTAGGATGATTTTTGGAAATAATAAAAATTTGTTTCATGAAAACAGAATTGTTTTATTTTGAAGGGCTTGCCACTAGAGTGGATATACTATGAGAAGAACGGGTTGAGTCATTATATAGGCTGTCACTTTGATTCTGACCAGTGGCGTATCATTAGTGTTATGAAATTGGGGCATCTTGAAAAATATAAAAATCATAAGCCACAAAAGGACGACGTAATACACTGTATGGTAAATCAGTAGTAATTATTGAATAGAATTACGAACGCCGCTGACGCTATGACCGGCACAGTTTACTCCCCCTAAAATTGTAAGTGGACTCGTCCGGACGTTTTTACGTCTACTGCCAGTGGCGTAGCTAACTTCCACTGCGCCCCCCCGCAGTTTATAGTAACGTCCCCATACACCAAATTTAAAAAGTAATATAAAATTAATATGAAATTACTGGTTTACCAGTAGTGGCGCCGAATAACACAGATTTACAAATAATAATAATTTATACACATAATAATTTTTAAAACTTGTCAATTGATTATACTGGCTTCATTCGACGTTGCCGAGAGTTCATAAATTCGCGTATGACACTGTCGAGATCTAATTTTTGGGATCGATCACACTCTCAAGACCTTTCTGCCGATAAAGAAGTCACTGGAAGTGTTAAAAATAGAAGTAATGCAGCGCAAATATCTGGTAAACTACTCGTTAAAAAATCATTGTCCATAAACAGAAACTTAGCAATATCTGTAATTTCAGTTATTTTTTGCTTTTTTTAATTTCACCGACAATAATGTTTTTAAAACTAACGATTTGCCCACAGATTGCACTAGAAATATCTTCTTCGTATTTATTTGCCAACTTTGATGCTGCCTCCACCAATTCTTCGTCTGTACTATTCAACATTTCCTGTGGTTCCAGAAAAGAAAAATAGTTTCTGACGTTTTTCATGCTTTCAAACCTATCTTTAATTTGAATGATTTAAAATATCAAGAGCAGGATAGAAAACGGTTGTTTTAAATTTTTCAGTGGGATCTTTAAAAACGTATCTTCACATAATTCGTCATGAAACAGTTTTACTTTTTTTATACGTCTATTTGAAAAATAATTGTTAATTTTCTAGGTATCAGCACATTTCCTTGATTCCTCCATTATTTGTTCAAAATTGTCACGTATACTTTGAAATTTGTCTTTTAGATGTTCCATCCATTTACAAGCCTCATCTAAAGTAATATTTGAACTCTGTAAAGTTTTTGAGACCAAATTAATATTTTCTAAAATTTTGCATTGAAATACTAATAGAGCAACAAATTCAAATAAATCCATTTTTTTACGAAGAGCTACAGTTTCATCTATTTCACTTTTCTTTTTTGATGTTAAAATAATTTCAGCTCATAACTGTTGAGAGATTATATCTAATGGCAATTAGAGAATCAAATCTCGATGACCATCTGGTGGGGCATAACTTTTTTAAAGTTTTTTTTATAACACACTTATCATTTTCTTTCATATCAATGTTGTTGTTGTTCAGTAAACTCTCACTGAAATAGACGTATATAGCATTTATTAAATAACAAAATGCGGAAATTCCTGGTACATTCTTAACAGAATCATCAAGGACTAAATTTAGGTTATGTGTAGCGCAATGAACATATTCGGCGTAATGATGTTCTTTCAAGTTCTTCATTTTTTTAAATATATTTTCCCGATTTTTTAATTTTCATTTTCTGGATTTTATATCACAATTTTTCGTTTATTCTATTTTTCACATTTTCAATTCCCCGATTTTCCAATTTTCAATATTAGATTTTACAATAATTTTCGTGTTTTCGACCGCAATTTTTCGATCTTTAAGTATCTCAATTTTTAATCCTTCGATTTTTGAATTTTCCGTTTCTTCAATTTCTCAAGTTTTTAGATTTCTCGAAGCTTTCATTTTATACTTTTGCGTTTTTTCATTTTGAGTTTTCAATTTTACAATTTTTCTATTTTATAACTTTTCCATTTTGTTAATTCGGAAAGTAGAAAATTCGAAAAATTGAAAAATCGGCAAATTAAAAAATTGGAAAAAATTGAAAAAACAAAAAATTGCAAAATCGATAAAACGGAAAATCGAATGGAATTTGTTTTTACGATTTTTTAACTTCGATTTTTTGAGTTTTTCGATTTTTCCGTTTATCTTTTTTTTAAGTAAATATTTCAATTTTGAATTTTCCGATTTCGGCCTATTTCGATTTCTCGATCTTTTGAAGTCTCAAGTTTTCGATTTCGATTTCTCGGTTTTTCGATTTTCAAAATTTTCGATTTTTCTAGTATATATTTTAAATTTTTCATTTTTCCCTTTTATAATCTTTGTTTCGATTTCCCGTTTTTAATTTTTTAATGTGTTTCAATTTTTCCATTTTTGGAATTTTCGATTTCTCATATCTCAATTTTCCAATTTTAAAATTTTTTCGATTTCTCGATTTTTAAGTTCCGCTATCTCAATTTTAATCATCGCAATTTTGGGAATTTTTTAATTTCTATATTTTTCAGATTTTTGACATTTCCATCTTCCCGATTTTGTAATTTTCATTTTCTTGATTTTATATCACAATTTTTCATTTTTCAATTACCTTTATTTTTTAAATGTTTCTTTGGATTTTATAATTTTTTGTTTATTCAATTTTTTACATTTTCAATCTTTGATTTTTTAAGTTCTTGATTTCCAATTTTTTTATTTTTCGAAGCTTTCATTTTGTACCTTTTCAGTTTTACAATTTTTCTATTTTATAATTTTTCGATTTTGTTTATTCGAAAAGTTAAAAACTCGAAAAAGTGAAAAATTGAAACAATGAAAAACTAAAAACCGAGAAACTTAAAAATCTAAAAAAAACTAATGAATCGAAGAATGGGAAAGAAGAAAAACCAGTCGAATTGAAAAATTGGAAAATCCAAAAATTGTAAAATCGAAAAGTTATAGAATCTTGAAAACTGTAAAGTCCAAAAACTGTGACATTCAAACACCGAAAAATTGAAAAACTCCAAAAACGAAAAACTGAAAAGTGAACAACTTTAAAAATAATAATTATTAGGAGTGTTACATAATTAAAATGAAAACTAGAAAAACTGCAAATGAAAAATTAAAGAAACGGAAAATTGAAAGCCGAAAATTGAAAAAATAAAGTAAATTAAAAACCCACACGAAAAATTGCAAATCGAAAAATTGACGAAATTAAAAACTGAAAACTCGTGAAATTTGCAAACTCTAAAATTTGAAACATCTAAAATTTGAAAAATCAAAAACTGAAAAATCGAGAAATCTAAAATTTTCAAAACTGAAAAGTCGAAAGATTGAAAAATCGAAATTTGGAAAATCGAAAAACCGAGGAATTCAAACTGAAAAAAGATGGAGAATTCAAGATGTCGAAAAATCTAAAAATCTAAAATTTAAAAAATAGAAAAATTACAATAACGAAAAATTTAATATTAAAAAAAAACACAAAATTAAAAAGTCGAAAAATCGAGAAATCGAGAAATGGAAAAATGAAAATTTAGAAAAACCAAAGATTGAAAAGCATAAAAAAAAATTAAAATCGGGAAATCGGAACGTAAAAAAATAAATTCGAAAAATTGAAAAATTTTGAATTCAAAAATTCGAAAACTTGAAAAACCGAAAAACTGAAGAAATGAAAAACTAAAAAATCGACAAATTGAAAAATCTTAAAACTGAAAAGTCGAAAAATTGAAAAACCCAAAAATCGATTTCCGGTAAGTCGAAAAATTAAAATTTAAAAAGTTGAAAAATGAAAATATCAAAAAACTGAAAAATATAAGACATTCTCAAAATTGAAATGTTGAAAAATTGAGAAATCGAAAACTTGAAAAATCCAGAAATGGAAAAAAAGAACGAAAAGTAAAAACATTTCAAAATCCAAAAAACGAATAACCGAGATGTAAGAAATCGAAAATTCCAAAATCGAAAAATTGGAATACACGTTAAAAAGGTTAAAATCGGGAGATCGAAGCATAACAAAACATAAATCGAAAAATGGAGAATTTTAAAAATCTAAAAACTTGAAGCAATAAAAAATTGAAAAATGGAAAAGCAGAGAAATCGAAACTAAAAAATTGAGACATCAAAAGATCCGAGAAATGGAGAAATCGAAATAGCCCGAAATCGAAAAACCGGAAAATTTAAACCTGAAATACATATTTAAACTTAAAAAAAATCGATAAATCAAAATATTCAAAATTCAAAAAATTAGAAATTTAAAAAATCGAAACATCGAGAAAAGACTACAGAGAAAAAAACAAAAATTGCTTAAAAAAAAGGAAACAAAGAAAAATGAAAAAAAAGACGACTATCAAAGAGACACAAAAAAAGATGTAAAAAAAATAAAAAATCCAATAAAAAAAACAAGAAAAGTGACAAAAGACAAAAAAAGGGGACAACAAATAAGTGAGAAAAAACTTCTACTTCAAGAAATTTATTGTTTACACATGATCTCTGAAATAAAGAATGAAATTTGAGAGTCAGGTCAAATCATGTCAAGTCAGGTCACAAAAAACACAAAAAAGACGTAAAAAGACGATTTTTTTCAGTTTCTCGAATTTCAACTTCAGGATTTTTTAGTCTTTTGATTCTTCAATTTTTCGATTGTCCAATTTCTCAATTTTTTTTCAATTTTTGTTTTTTTGATTTTTCGATTACTCAATAATAATAATAATAAGTACAAAAAAAATAATAGTCATAATCAAGGTAACAACAATTTTCCGATACTTCAGTTTTGGAATTTCTCAATATTTCAGTTCTTCGATTTTTTGATGTTTCGATTTCTCGATTTTTCAATTATTCGACGTTTTAATTTCTATATTTTTTAAAAGTTAGTTTTCGATTTCTCAATTTTTGAGTTCTTCGATTATACAGTTTTTCAATCCTTCGAATTTTTAAATTTTAGATTTTTTAGTTTCTCGATTTTTTTTTTCAATTTTCAATTTCCCGATTTTGGGATTATCCAGTTTTTCGATATTTCAAGTTACGAGTTTTTCAATATTTCAGTTCACGAGTTTTTAGTGCTTCGATTTCTCGATTTTTCAGTTTTTCGACTTCTCCTTTTAGATTTTACGGTTTTTCGGTTTTTAAAATATGTATTTGATTTTTCGTTTTTCAGTTTTTCGGTTTTTAAATTTTTCTATTTCTGGATTAATCGAGACTTTGATATTTTTTAATTTTTAGACAAAATTGTTCACAAAAAATTTACAAAAAACGGAAAAAGGACGGAAAAAAGGTGATAAAAATAGTATAAAAAAACGCATCCGAACAAAGCGATAAAAAAGGAGACGAAAAAATGTTACCAAAATAACGATTGAAAATCAAAAATGCGACGAAAGAATGCAATAATCTATAAATCAATAAATCTATAAAAAAGGGGAAAAGAGTCTATAGACAAAGCTACAAAAATAAAGTGACAGAAAGAGAGACAAAAATTGACAAAAAGTTTACAAAAAAATGCTAAAAGGGCTACAAAATGAGAACAAAAAGGTGCCAACGAAAGTAAAAAAAACTGGTAAGAAGACGAGAAAAAATCTGAAGAAATGCAATGAAAAAAGCGCTAAAAAAGGCAACACAAAGATGTTATAAAAAAGCAAAAAGTAACCAAAAAAGACGTCAAAAAAGGCAGCAAAAAACTGATCAAAAAAAGGATAAGAAAAATAAGATTAAAAAAAAACGCTTAAAAAGAAGACAACAAAAAATTTAATAAAAAAAAGGCGACACAAAAAAAGCTGCAAAAAAAGTCAACAAAAATAAAAAAACTGGGAAAAATGTAACGAAAAAAGCAACAGAAAAAGCAAGAAAAGTGGCAAATATGCAAACAAACAATGCGACAAAAAAATACAAAAACGGGCACAAAAAAGGGAGAAACAACTGCAGAAAAATGAGTGGAAAAACTAAAAAAAGGGAAAACTACAAACAGAAATTGAATATCATTTAGTTTAAGAAATTTAATGTTTACACAGTGTATCCACGACCTCTGAAATAAATTTCATAAAAAAAGTAAAAATTGAAATTTGATAGTCAGGTCAGGTCATGTTAAGTCAGGTTATGTTAAGTCAGCTAACGTCAAGTCAGGTCACAAAAAATATAAAAAAGCCAACAAAAAAGACGTAAAAAAAGGCGATTTTTTCAGTTTCTCGATATCTCAGTTTTAGTCTTTTTGAAGGATCAATTTTTCGATTTTCCAATTTCTCAATTTTTTTCAATTTTTTTTTGTGGTTTAAAATAATAGTCATAATCGAGGTAACAACAATTTTTCGATACTTCAGTTTTGGAATTTCTCAATATTTCAATTGTTCGATTTTTTGATGTTTCGATTTCTCGATTTTTCAATTTTTGACTTCTGGATTTAGATTTTATGGATTTTCGATTTTTAAAATACTTATTTGATTTTTCGTTTTTCAATTTTTCGTTTTTCAATTTTTCGTTTTTTAAAATTCTCTATTTTTGGATGAATCCAGATTTCGATGTTTTTTAATTTTTCGATTGTTCAATTTCCCTAGTTTTCAATTTTCCGATTTTTAGTTTCAAATAAATAAATAAATTAACGACAAAATTGTCCACAAAAAGCAACAAAAAACGGAAAAAAGACGGGAAAAGAGACGAAAAAAGTGTAACCAAAATAACGATTAAAAATGAAAAATGCGACGAAAGAATGCAATTAAAAGCTATAAAGGGAGACTAAGGTAAAAGCAAAAGCGACAAAAAGCCACAAAAAGGTAATTGAAAGAGGGACAAAAATTGACAAAAAGTTTACAAAAAAAAAAAAAATGCTAAAAGAGCTACAAAACGGGAACAAAAACACATCAAAGAAAGTCAAAAAAATTGCTTTAAGAAGGTGCCAAAAAATCTGAAGAAATGCAATGAAAGAAGCGCTTAAAAAAGCAACAAGAAAGTGTGACCAAAAAGACGCCAAAAAGGGAGCAAAAAAGTGATCAAAAGAAGGATAACAAAGAAAGTGAGAATAAAGTCTACGAGAAAAAAGGCGACCGAAAAAAGAAAAGTGGAAAAAAATAAATAAAAAGTCAAAAGACGCTTCGCAAAGTGACACAGAAAAGGTGCAAAAAAGCAAAAAAAGCAAACATTAATTAAAAAAAAAAAATGGGAAATGCTACGAAAACAGCAACAAAAAAAGCAAGAAAAGTGGCAGATACCCACAAAAAATGCGACAAGGAATAGACAAAAAGGGGCAACATAAAAACGAGAGAAACACAGAAAAATGAGTTAAAAAACTAAAAAAGAAGAGAAAACTATTAAAGTACGGAAAAAAGGAGAAAAACATGACAAACACAAACAAAAGTGGTAAAGAGAAAAGACAAAAAAGGCGACAAAAGAAATCCATTAAAAATTCATAAAAAAAGCGGACAAAAACGACTCTTAGGATACAATAAAAGGCGGAAAATAGCTATTAAAAAGGCCAAACACATTTAAAAAGATTGCTGAAAAAGCTGCAAAGAAAAACTACAGAGAAAAAACAAAAAAGAGTTCTAAAGACAACCGCTCAACAATGGTAACAAATGAAGATGTCAGAAAAAGACGACAAAAAAGTGATAAAAGAGGGCAACAAAAAACCGTGAAAAAGACGCCTAACAAAGCGATATAAAAAAACGACGAACAAAGCAACAAAAAAAGCAAGAAAAGTGACAAAAAATTGAAGAAAATATTTCACAAAAAATTAGTTCAAAAATTAAAAATGGGGAAAACAAATAAAATAAACAAAAGTGGACAATAGAAAAGAGGAAAAAATGCTCAAAAAAGCAGTAAGAAACCCAATAAAACATAAAAATGTGAAAAAGTGCTTAGAAAAGGCTACAAAAAAATTGAACAAAAAAAAAAAGATACCTAACAAAACGAAATAAAAAATGTGCATAAAAGCAATAAAGGCAACAAAAATTAGAAAAAAAAGACAATAAAAATACAACGAAAAAAGCAACAAAAAAAAACAAGAGAAGTGACCAAAAATCGAGAAAAAAATTTAGAAGGAATTATATAATAAAAACTAAAAAAGGGGGAAAACGACCTAAGTACGAAAAAAACGCGAAAACAGTACAAAAACAGACAAAAGTTGTCAATAGATACACAAAAAAGCCAACAAAAGAAGGTCAAAAAAATTGATTAGAAATGGGGACAAAACAGGGATCAAAAATGGGACAAAACACAAAAACGACAAAAAAGTGATTAAAAAAAGGGACAAAAACGATACTTTGGCTACAATAAAAGTCCGGAAATAGCTATAAAAAGGGACCAAAAACGCTCACAAAACTTTTGTAAAAAACCTGCAAAAGAGACTACAGAGAAAAAAAAAACAAAAAAAAAGGTAACAAAAATGATGGGGGAAAAGCGCTTAAAACGGTAAACAAAAGAAGACGTCAAAAAAAACACAAAAAGTGACAAAAAAAGTGCAACAAAAAAGCAGTAAGAAAGGCAACAAAAACACAAAAATGTGAAAAAAGTGCTTAAAAAGGCAACAAAAAAATCCAATAAAAAAAATCGTTCCACTCCAACGCCCAATTCAACTGGAAACTCTCCAACCGCAACCTCCCTGTCGACCTCCCTTTCACTAAAAAGAAGTCCGGTTTCACCCCCATCGAGATCGTCGGGATGCCCGGCTACGAAAAGCTCACCCCCTCCGAGCGCGACTTGTGCCGCACCGTGCGCCTCGTCCCCATCAGCTACCTCGAGCTCAAAGACATCCTGGTTTCCGAGAACAAGAAAATGGGCTCCATCAAGCTCAAAACCGCCCGCAAAATTCTCAAAATCGACGTGAATAAAACGCGCCGTTTGTACGACTTTCTGGTGCAAGAGGGTTACATTGTTAAGCCTGCGTCTTGATTAATATAGTTTTTGAATTGAGTCGTTTGTCGTTTTTGTTTAGTTTTAATGTTGGGACCTTGCAGAGTTTGAGAACGCGGAGACGCTGCTCATTTCGGAGGTGCACATGCTGCTGGAGCACCGGAAGGCGCAGAACGAGTCGGCGGAGGACGAGCAGGAGTTCTCGGACGTGTTCATGAAGACGCTGACGTACACGGATAGGTTTAGGAAGTTCAAGAACAAGGAGACGATCTCGGCGGTCCGGAAGTAAGTGGGGTGGGTGTTGTGGGGCGGTGGTTATGGTTTTGTTGTAGTTTGTTGATGCAGAAGAAGCTGCACAAGTTCGAGCTGGCGGCGATCGCGAATTTGTGCCCGGAGACGACCGAGGAGGCGAAGTCGCTGATTCCGTCGCTGGAGGGAAGGTTCGAGGATGAGGAGCTGCAGGCGGTGTTGGACGATATTCAGACCAAGAGGAGCATTCAGTACTGACGTGTGGAGTTTTGTTTTTAATTTGTATTTTTTTACGATGGTTGTAGGATGATTCTTGGAAATAATAAAAATTTGTTTCATGAAAACAGAATTGTTTTATTTTGAAGGGTTTGAACTAGAGTGGATATACTATGAGAAGAACGTGTTGAGTCATTATATAGGCTGTCACTTTGATTCTGACCAGTGGCGTATCATTAGTGTTATGAAATTGGGGCATCTTGAAAAATATAAAAATTATAAGCCACAAAAGGACGACAATAAAAGGCGAAAAATTGCCAAAGGGCCTAAAAACCCTCACAAAAATTGCGGAAAAAAGCTACAAAGAACGACTACTGAGAAAAAAACAAAAAAGGTCTAAAAAATGCGATTGAAAAAGCGCTAAAAATGATGACCAAAAAAATTTACAAAAAAAGTGACCAAAGGAAAAAAAAGGCAACAAAAAAGTGACAAAAATTGGGCAACAAAAGCACAGCAAGAAAGGCGGTAAAAACGTGAAAAAAGATTTAAAAATGGCTTAAGAAAGGGAAACAAAAAAAAAAAATAAAAAAAAAGACAAAAAGACGATTAGCAAAGAGACAAAAAAGATGTAAGAAAGTAAAAAAGCCAAGAAAAATAAAAGAAACGGGAAAAATATAACGAAAATAGGCAACAAAAAAAGCAAGAAAAGTGACAAAAGACAAAAAAAGGAGACAATAAAAAAGTGAGAAAAAACTTCTTCTAAAGACTAACTTTTGATTCTTCATTTTGTTGATTTTCCAATTTCAACATTTTTTTCAATTTTTATTTTTTTGATTTTTCGATTACTCATTAATAATAATAAGTACAAAAAAAATAATCATAATCAAGGTAACAACAATTTTCCGATACTTCGGTTTTAGAATTTCTCAATGTTTCAATTCTTTGATTTTTTGATGTTTCGATTTCTCTATTTTTTAAAAGCTAGTTTTCGATTTTTCATTTTTTCAGTTCTTCGATTTTTCCTCTTTTCAATCTTTCGAATTTTTAAATTTTACATTTTTCAATTGTTCGATTTTTTTCATTTTTTAATTACTCGATTTTTCGATTTTCGGCTACCGTAAAGTTTTTCAATTTTTCGCTTTTTAAAATTTTTCTATTCCTGGATTAATGGAGATTTCGATGTTTTTTAATTTTTCGACAAAATTGTCAACAAAAAAAAGTTACAAAAAACAAAAAAGGACGGAAAAAAAGATGATAAAATAATTTAAAAAAATGCATCCCAACAAACCGATAAAAAAAGAGACGAAAAAACGTTACTAAAATAACGATTGAAAATTAAAAATGCGACGAAAGAATGCAATAAAAATCTATAAAAGAAAAGGGGATAAGAGTAAATAGACAAAGCTACAAAAATAAAGTGACAGAAAGAGAGACAAAAATTGACAAAAAGTTTACAAAAAAATGCGAAAAGAGCTACAAAATGGGAACAAAAACGCGCTAAAATAAAGTAAAAAAAAAAAATGTGGTAAGAAGACGAGAAAAAACGCGCTAAAAAAGGCAACAAGAAAGTAAACACAATAATTTATAACAAACAACGACAAAAAGGACAACAAACATGCCTAAATTAACGAAAAAAAAGCAAAAAAAATACGACAAAAACAACAAAAATAATCAGCAATGAAACATAAAAAGTCGACAAAAGAATGCAATAAAAAACGATTAAAAATAGGCGAAAAATGGCCAAAGGGCCTAAAAACTTTCAAAAAAATTGAGGAAAAAAGCTGCAAAGAAAGACTACAGACAAAAACACAAAAAAAGGTCTGACAATGCGATGAAAAGAAAGTGACCAAAGGAAAAAGAAAGGTGAGAAAAAAGGGCAACAAAAAAGTGACAACAAATGGGCAACAAAAACACAACAAGAAAGCCCATAAAAAAGTGGAAGAAAAAGATTTAAAAATCGCTTCAAAAAAGGAAACAAAAAATTGAAAAAAAATAAACAAAAAAGACGACTAGCAAAGAGACACAAAAAGATATAAAATAAATAAAAAAGCCAACAAAAACAAAAGAAACGGGAAAAATATAACGGAAAAAGGCAGCAAAAAAAGCAAAAGTGACAAAAGACAAAAAAAGGGGACAACAAAAAAGTGACAAAAAACTTCTTCGAAAGACTAACTTTTGATTCTTCATTTTGTTGATTTTCCAATTTCAACATTTTTTTCAATTTTTATTTTTTCGATTTTTCGATTACTCAATAATAATAATAAGTACAAAAAAAAATAATCATAATCAAGGTAACAACAATTTTCCGATACTTCGGTTTTAGAATTTCTCAATGTTTCAATTCTTCGATTTTTTGATGTTTCGATTTCTCGATTTTTTAAAAGCTAGTTTTCGATTTTTCAATTTTTCAGTTCTTCGATTTTTCCGCTTTTCAATCCTTCGAATTTTTAAATTTTACATTTTCCAATTGCTCGATTTTTTTCATTTTTTAATTACTCGATTTTTCGATTTTCGACTTCTCGTTTTAGATTTTACGATTTTTCAATTTTTAAAATATTTAATTTTTCGTTTTTCAATTTTTCGCTTTTTAAAATTTTTCTATTCCTGGATTAATGGAGATTTCGATGTTTTTTAATTTTTCGACAAAATTGTCCACAAAAAAGTTACAAAAAACGGAAAAGGACGGAAAAAAAGATGATACAATAATTTAAAAAAATGCATCCGAACAAAGCGATAAAAAAAGAGACGAAAAACGATTGAAAATCAAAAACGCGACGAAAGAATGCAATAAAAATCTATAAAAGAAAAGAGGATAAGAGTAAATAGGCAAAGCTACAAAAATAAAGTGACAGAAAGAGAGACAAAAATTGACAAAAAGTTTTCAAAAAAATGCGAAAATGGGAAACAAAAACGCGCTAAAATAAAGTAAAAAAAAAAAAATGTGGTAAGAAGACGAGAAAAAAACGCGCTATTTTTAGCGCGTTTTTTTCAACAAGAAAGTGAACACAATAATGTTATAAAAAAGCAAAAAGTGACCAAAAAATACGTCAAAAAAAGGCAGCAATAAAAAAAGAAGAAACAATTACGAAAAAATTAGTTAAAAAACTAAAAAAAGGGGAAAACTACTGACAGAAATTAAATATCATTTAGTTTAAGAAATTTATTGTTTATACAGTGTATCCACGACCTCTGAAATAAATTCCATAAAAAAAAATAAAAAATGAAATTTGATAGTCAGGGGTCATGTCAAGTCAGGTTATGTCAAGTCAGCTAACGTCAAAAAAAATACAAAAAAGCCAACAAAAGAGACGTAAAAAAGGCGATTTTTTTCAGTTTCTCTATATCTCAGTTTTAGTCTTTTTGAAGAATCAATTTTTCGATTTTCCAATTTCTCATTTTTTTTTCAATTTTTATTTTTTTTTAATTTAAAATAATAGTCATAATCGAGGTAACAACAATTTTTCGATACGTCAGTTTTGGAATTTCTCAATATTTCAATTGTTCGATTTTTTGATGTTTCGATTTCTCAATTTTTCAGTTTTTCGATTTTTCAATTCTTCAAATTTTTAAATTTTAGATTTTTCAGTTTCTCGATTTTTTTCAATTTTTAATTTCACGATTTTTCGATTATCCAATTTTTCGATATTTCATATTTTGAGTTTTTCAATATATCAATTTACCAAATTTTGATGCTTCGATTTCTCGATTTTTCAATTTTTGACTTCTCGTTTTAGATTTTATGGATTTTCGATTTTTAAAATATTTGATTTTTCGTTTTTCAATTTTTAAAATTCTCTATTTTTGGATTAATCGAGATTTCGATGTTTTTTAATTATTCGATTGTTCAATTTCCCGAGTTTTCAATTTTCCGATTTTTAGTTTCAGTAAATAAATAAATAAATAAATAAATGACAAAATTGTCCACAAAAAGCAACAAAAAAGTTACAAAAAACGGAAAAAAGACGGAAAAAGAGACGAAAAAGTGTAACCAAAATAACGATTAAAAATCAAAAATGCGACGAAAGAATGCAATAAAAAGTTATAAAGAGAGACTAAAAGCAAAAGCGACAAAAAGCCACAAAAAAGGTAATTGAAAGAGGAATAAAAATTGACAAAAAATTTACAAAAAAATGCGAAAAGAGCTACAAAACGGGAACAAAAACACATCAAAGAAAGTAAAAAAAATTGGTTTAAGAAGGTGCCAAAAAATCTGAAGAAATGCAATGAAAGAAGCGCTTAAAAAAGCAACAAGAAAGTATGACCACAAGACGCCAAAAAAGGGAGCAAAAAAAGTGATGAAAAGAAGGATAACAAAGAAAGTGAAAATAAAGTCCACGAGAAAAAAGGCGACCGAAAAAAGAAAAGTGGAAAAAAGACAAAAATGTTCAAAAAATGGGCAACAAAAAAGTTGTAAGGAAGTCCGTAAAATGTGAAAAAAAGATTTAAAAAAAAAGGCAATAAAAAAAATAACAAATAAAAAGTCAAAAAATACACTTAGCAAAGCGACACAAAAAAGGTGCAAAAAAGCAAAAAAAGCAAACATTAATTAAAAAAAAAACGGGAAATGCTACGAAAACAGCAAGAAAAAAAGTGCCAGATACCCATAAAAAAAGCGACAAGGAATAGACAAAAAGGGGCAACATAAAAACGAGAGAAAAACACAAAAATGAGTTAAAAAACTAAAAAAAAAAGAAAACTATTAAAGTACTGAAAAAAGGAGAAAAACATGACAAACACAAACAAAAGTGGTAAATAGAAAAGACAAAAAAGGCGACAAAAGAAAGCCATTAAAAATTCATTAAAAAGCGGACAAAAACGACTCTTAGGATACAATAAAAGGCGGAAAATAGCTATTAAAAGAGGCCAAAGACATCTACAAAAATTGTTGAAAAAGCTGCAAAGAAAAACTACAGAGAAAAACTACAGAGAAAAACTACAGAGAAAAACTACAGAGAAAAACTACAGAGAAAAAACAAAAAAGAGTTCTAAAGACAAGCGCTCAAAAATGGTAACAAATGAAGATGTCAGAAAAAGACGACAAAAAGGTGATAAAAGAGGGCAACAAAAAACCGTAAGAAAACCAACAAAAACAAAAAACCGTGAAAAAGACGCCTAACAAGGCTATATAAAAAAACAACGAACAAAGCAACAAAAAAAGCAAGAAAAGTGACAAAAAATTGAAGAAAATATTTCACAAAAAATTAGTTCAAAAATTAAAAATGTTGAAAAACACGATAAAATAAACAAAAGTGGACATTAGAAAAGAGGAAAAAATGCTCAAAGAAGCAGTAAGAAACCCAAAAAAACACAAAAATGTGAAAGAGCGCTTAGAAAAGGCTACAAAAAAATTGAACAAAAAAAAGATACCTAACAAAACGAAATAAAAAATGTGCATAAAAGCAATAAAAGCAACAAAAATTAGAAAAAAAAAAAATAAAAATACAACGAAAAAAGCAAAAAAAAAACAAGAGAAGTGACCAAAAATCGAGAAAAAAATTTAGAAGGAATTATATAATTAAAAAACTAAAAAAGGGGGAAAACGACGTAAGTACGAAAAAAAGGCGAAAACAGGACAAAAACAGACAAAAGTTGTCAATAGAAACACAAAAAAGGCAACAAAAGAAGGCCAAAAAATTGATTAGAAATGGGGACAAAACGGGGATCAAAAATGGGACTAAACACAAAAACGACAAAAAAGTGATTAAAAAAAGGGCTCAATAAAAGGCCGAAAATAGCTATAAAAAGGGACCAAAAACGCTCACAAAGCTTTTGGAAAAAACCTGCACAAGAGACTACAGAGAAAAAAACAAAAAAAAAGTTCACAAAAATGATGGGGAAAAAGCGCTTAAAACGGTAAACAAAAGAAGACGTCAAAAAAACACAAAAAAGTGACAAAAATAGTGCAACAAAAAAGCAATAAGAAAGCCAACAAAAACACAAAAATGTGAAAACAGTGCTTAAAAAGGCAACAAAAAAATCCAATAAAAAAAAACACAAACAAGGTGCAAAAAAGTAATAAGGACAACAAAAATTAGAAAAAAACAAATAAAAATACAACAAAAGTAGTAAGAAAAGAAACAAAAATCAAGACAAAAATTTCACAAAAAAGAAGTTAAAAGCACTAAAAAAGGGGTAAAGCTACAAAAGTACGAAAAAGAAGCGAAAAAACACACCAAAAGAAGGGTGACAAAAAATAGACGACAAAAGAGGGCCGAAAAATCTATAAAAAGGAGAATAAAAAGCTGATAAAGAATAGGGGCCGTCTAAAAACAAAAGTGACAAAAAAGGGTACAAAACCTGAAATGACCCGACCTGACGTGACCTGACTTGATATGACCTGACCTGACCCGACCCGACCTGACCTAATCTGACGTCACGTGGGTAAAAGTTAGATATCAAAAAATACGGACGGTCCAATAAGCCTTATGTAAATTTAAATAGGATTTACTTTTCAAAATTTTAAAACGTCATCATTAAATTGTTGGTAGGGACGATAAAACAAATTTTTGTACGCGATTTTGTAAAATATACCTAAAATTTCATGCAATCGTCAAATGTATCGTACTATATTATTGCAGGATTTTTAAATATCTCACTGTTTTTTTTTTCTGTAGCACTTAATTAATTTCAATAATTCATACGGTAATGACACACTAAAACCATAATTACACTAATTACACCTCACTCATGACATTCGTCCACAATTACACACCGCAAATTCAAGCTACAAGTTAATTAGGCTCTATGTTAATGAGCAAATAAATTAGTACTTTTTGCAAATCCACAATTCCAAGTAAATTGCAAACATTATTAATGAACTATTTGAGCAAGATATGACACACGTCAATTTTTGTCACAAAGTGGGTCTTAATCGTGTCCTCAAACCACAACAACAAAAATGCTGCAGTCGTTCCATATTTGACAAATGTGTGTCTCATTTCACTTTCAAATCGTCAAGATTTTGTTTAATTAATTAGCAAAAGACGCATTTTTTGGAATCTATTAAGTATATAATGTCGCCAGTCAAGCGTAGAAGCAGTTCAGTTCCAGTACCGAAGTACCACCAAACATGTTAGGACAAGTAAGTACCGTTTTTATCACACCAAAATCAAATCAAAATAAAATTTCTTGTGGTACTTTCAGATCACCAGCTTAGCTATCCTCCTCGGAGTCGCCAGTGCCGGCGTGGTGCTCGGCGGAATCGGCGACGGCGTCGGCGTTGGCGTCGGAGTGGTCGACGGTGGCCACCGCGTCGTCGACGTCGTGGTAAGTACCCACACTCAGTACCAATATGCTACCCTAAAATCAGACGCCCCCTAGGTACGAGTTCAAGTACGGCGTGGAGGACCACAAGACCGGCGACAGGAAACAACAAGCCGAAGTCCGCGTCAACGACGTCGTCAAGGGCGAGTACTCTCTGGCGGAGCCCGATGGTACCGTCCGCGTCGTCAAGTACACCGCCGACGACCACAACGGCTTCAACGCAGTCGTCTCCAGAGTGGGACACGCAGTGCATCCCCAGGTTCTAGTAAGGAAAGCTGTAGTACCGGTGGCCCATAGCGTGGCAGTACCTGTTGCCACCCACGGCATCGCTGTTGGAGGGTACGGATTGGGAGGCGGGATCCTCGACGGACGCGGGATCCTCGACGGACGCGGGATCCTCGATGGGCGCGGAAGCATCTTGGACGGGCGCGGGTTGGGTCTGGAAGGAGGGATCTTAGGAAGACACGAAGGAATAGCACTTGGAGGGTACTAAAATTTTCCAGATTTGACTAATGATCTAGATGTCTTATTATGTATTGTTATTCGTTGCTCATCCTTTGTATATGTTGTTTATTATTTAGGTGAATGAACAATAAATGTTTAATTGCGACATTGTGGTTTGATTTATTAATAACAATTTTATTGTTGTGGGGAAAAAAGGTAATGAGATATGTACGGTTGTGGTGACCTGAAATTTCAAGTGGTTGCGTAAGGCGTAATTAATGCATGCAGATTTAGATATTTAGAGTCAATGTTGATGTAATTAGTTCTTGTATTTCTAAAGACTGTGATATTTAGTTTCGTTTCATGAAAAGTTTAAGTTTGTTTCACTTTCGTTTATTTGTTCGGTTTCGTGGTTTCAGAGTTACTATTTTCAAAAATTTCAAGGTTTATTGGTTATTTTCAGACAAGTTTTTCATTGTTTACGAAATACTTTATGAAGAATTTCTAAATAATTAAAAATCTCTACAACTTTCAGAGTTTTTGACGGATTTCTATATTTTGATAATTAATTAATCACACTTTTAAAAAATTCTGACGTCATAAATTTTATAAAAGAGATTTTTCATACTTTATATCTACTTTGAAAGTTTCATTCCTGAGCACTTTTTAGTCTATTGGGCAATAATTTGCAGAAATTGAATATCATTTACTTCAAGAAATTGACCTTAGAAATAAATTCTGTAAAAAAAAGAATGAAATTTGACAATTATGTTCTTCAGTCGAGTGGGAGTGGAAACTAATAATAGAATCTAGGATGTGAAAAGACTAAAAAAAAAAACGCTAATCTCTAAAAATAGCTGTATTTCGATTTTGGAAAAACGGTAGAAGTTTTCGAAGAAACGAAGCCGAAAATGATTCTCAGATATTTAAATCTACAAGAAAATGTCTTCAATTGATTTTTGGAAATGGTTAAAAATTGGTCGAAAAAGTCAAAAGTGCCAAAATCAGTCTTATCTGATCAAATACTAGCCCCACCCACCCACCCTCTATTTTCTTAGAAACCATGTCATTTGCCAAAATCAGTCTTATCTAATCAAATACTAGCCCCGCCCACCCGCCCCTATTTTCTCAGAGGATATGTCATTTGCCAAAATCAGTCTTTTTTTAGCAAGTAGCAGCCCCGCCCACTTTCCCTATTCTCATCTTAACGACTGACTTTTTTCCGTTTAGTATAAGATCATTCACTTTATTGAGATTGGATAAAATCAATCACTGAAAAGAAGACAGGGTGGGTGGGCGGGGCTAATTATGTTCATTAGTCGAGTGGGAGTGGAAATTAATGATAGAATGTAAAATGTGAAAAAACCAAAAAAAGCGCTAATCTTTAAAAATAGCTGGATTTCAATTGGCGATTTTGGAAAAACGTTGGAGTTTTCGATGAAACGAAGCCGAAAATGACTTCTAGATATTGAAATCTACAAGAAAATGTCTTCAATTAATTTTCGAAAATGGTTGAAAATATGGTCGAAAAAGTCAAAAGTGCCAAAATCAGTCTTATCTCGCAAATACTAGCCCCACCCACCCACCCTCTATTTTCTTAGAAACCATGTCATTTGCCAAAATCAGTCTTATCTAATCAAATACTAGCCCCGCCCACCCGCCCCTATTTTCTCAGAGGATATGTCATTTGCCAAAATCAGTCTTTTTTTAGCAAGTAGTAGCCCCGCCCACCTTCCCTATTCTCATTTTAACGACTGACTTTTTTTCCGTTTAGTATAAGATCATTCATTTTATTGAGATTGGTTAAAATCAATCACTGAAAAGAAGACAGGGTGGGTGGGCGGGGCTAATTATTTTATTAGTCGAGTGGGAGTGGAAATTAATGACAGAATGTAGGATGTGAAAAAACTAAAAAAAAAGCTAATCTTTAAAAATAGCTGTATTTCAATTGGCGATTTTGGAATAACGTTGGAGTTTTCGAAGAAACGAAGCCGAAAATGACTTCTAGATAGTGAAATCTACAAGAAAATGTCTTCAATTAATTTTCGAAAATAGTTGAAAAATGGTCGAAAAAGTCAAAAGTGCCAAAATCAGTCTTATCTCATCAAATACTAGCCCCGCCCACCCACCCTCTATTTTCTTAGAATCCATGTCATTTGCCAAAATCAGTTTTATCTAATCAAATACTAGCCCCGCCCACCCGCCCCTATTTTCTCAGAGGTTATGTCATTTGCCAAAATCAGTCTTTTTTTAGCAAGTAGCAGCCCCGCCCACTTTCCCTATTCTCATCTTAACGACTGACTTTTTTCCGTTTAGTATAAGATCATTCACTTTATTGAGATTGGATAAAATCAATCACTGAAAAGAAGACAGGGTGGGTGGGCGGGGCTAATTATGTTCATTAGTCGAGTGGGAGTGGAAATTAATGATAGAATGTAAAATGTGAAAAAACCAAAAAAAGCGCTAATCTTTAAAAATAGCTGGATTTCAATTGGCGATTTTGGAAAAACGTTGGAGTTTTCGATGAAACGAAGCCGAAAATGACTTCTAGATATTGAAATCTACAAGAAAATGTCTTCAATTAATTTTCGAAAATGGTTGAAAATATGGTCGAAAAAGTCAAAAGTGCCAAAATCAGTCTTATCTCGCAAATACTAGCCCCACCCACCCACCCTCTATTTTCTTAGAAACCATGTCATTTGCCAAAATCAGTCTTATCTAATCAAATACTAGCCCCGCCCACCCGCCCCTATTTTCTCAGAGGATATGTCATTTGCCAAAATCAGTCTTTTTTTAGCAAGTAGTAGCCCCGCCCACCTTCCCTATTCTCATTTTAACGACTGACTTTTTTTCCGTTTAGTATAAGATCATTCATTTTATTGAGATTGGTTAAAATCAATCACTGAAAAGAAGACAGGGTGGGTGGGCGGGGCTAATTATTTTATTAGTCGAGTGGGAGTGGAAATTAATGACAGAATGTAGGATGTGAAAAAACTAAAAAAAAAGCTAATCTTTAAAAATAGCTGTATTTCAATTGGCGATTTTGGAATAACGTTGGAGTTTTCGAAGAAACGAAGCCGAAAATGACTTCTAGATAGTGAAATCTACAAGAAAATGTCTTCAATTAATTTTCGAAAATAGTTGAAAAATGGTCGAAAAAGTCAAAAGTGCCAAAATCAGTCTTATCTCATCAAATACTAGCCCCGCCCACCCACCCTCTATTTTCTTAGAATCCATGTCATTTGCCAAAATCAGTTTTATCTAATCAAATACTAGCCCCGCCCACCCGCCCCTATTTTCTCAGAGGATATGTCATTTGCCAAAATCAGTCTTTTTTTAGCAAGTAGTAGCCCCGCCCACCTTCCCTATTCTCATTTTAACGACTGACTTTTTTTCCGTTTAGTATAAGATCATTCATTTTATTGAGATTGGATAAAATCAATCACTGAAAAGAAGACAGGGTGGGTGGGCAGGGCTAATTATGTTCATTATTCGAGTGGGAGTGGAAATTAATGATGGAATGTAGGATGTGAAAAAACTAAAAAAAGCGCTAATCTCTAAAATTAGCTGTATTTCAATTGGCGATTTTGGAAAAACGTTGGAGTTTTCGAAGAAACGAAGCCGAAAATGACTTCTAGATATTGAAATCTACAAGAAAATGTCTTCAATTAATTTTCGAAAATGGTTGAAAAATTTTCGAAAAAGTCAAAAGTGCCAAAATCAGTCTTATCTCATCAAATACTAGCCCCACCCACCCACCCTCTATTTTCTTAGAAACCATGTCATTTGCCAAAATCAGTCTTATCTAATCAAATACTAGCCCCGCCCAACCGCCCTATTTTCTCAGAGGATATGTCATGTGCCAAAATCAGTCTTTTTTTAGCAAGTAGTAGCCCCGCCCACTTTCCCTATTCTCATTTTAACGAATGACTTTTTTTCCGTTTAGTATAAGATCGTTCATTTTATTGAGATTGGATAAAATCAATCACTGAAAAGAAGACAGGGTGGGTGGGCGGGGCTAATTATGTTCATTAGTCGAGTGGGAGTGGAAATTAATGAAAGAATGTAGGATGTGAAAAAACTAAAAAAAGCGCTAATCTCTAAAAATAGCTGTATTTCAATTGGCGATTTTGGAAAAACGTTGGAGTTTTCGAAGAAACGAAGCCGAAAATGACTTCTAGATATTGAAATCTACAAGAAAATGTCTTCAATTAATTTTCGAAAATAGTTGAAAAATGGTCGAAAAAGTCAAAAGTGCCAAAATCATTCTTATCTCATCAAATACTAGCCCCGCCCACCCACCCTCTATTTTCATATAAACCATGTCATTTGCCAAAATCAGTCTTATCTAATCAAATACTAGCCCCGCCCACCCGCCCCTATTTTCTCAGAGGAAATGTCATTTGCCAAAATCAGTCTTTTTTTAGCAAGTAGTAGCCCCGCCCACCTTCCCTATTCTCATTTTAACGACTGACTTTTTTCCGTTTAGTATAAGATCATTCATTTTATTGAGATTGGATAAAATCAATCATTGAAAAGAAGACAGGGTGGGTGGGCGGGGCTAATTATGTTCATTAGTCAAGTGGGAGTGGACATTAATGATAGAATGTAGGATGTGAAAAAACTAAAAAAAGCGCTAATCTCTAAAAATAGCTGTATTTCAATTGGCGATTTTGGAAAAACGTTGGAATTTTCGAAGAAACGAAGCCGAAAATGACTTCTAGATATTGAAATCTACAAGAAAATGCCTTCAATTAATTTTCGAAAATGGTTGAAAATGGTCGAAAAAGTCAAAAGTGCCAAAATCAGTCTTATCTCATCAAATACTAGAACCGCCCACCCACCCTCTATTTTCTTAGAAACCATGTCAATTGCCAAAATCAGTCTTATCTAATCAAATACTAACCCCGCCCACCCGCCCCTATTTTCTCAGAGGATATGTAATTTGCCAAAATCAGTCTTTTTTTAGCAAGTAGCAGCCCCGCCCACCTTCCCTATTCTCATTTTAACGACTGACTTTTTTTCCGTTTAGTATAAGATCATTCACTTTACTGAGATTGGATAAAATCAATCACTCAAAAGAAGACAGGGTGGGTGGGCGGGGCTAATTATATTCATTAGTCGAGTGGGAGTGGAAATTAATGATAGAATGTAGGATGTGAAAAAACTAAAAAAAGCGCTAATCTCTAAAAATAGCTGTATTTCAATTGGCGATTTTGGAAAAACGTTGGAATTTTCGAAGAAACGAAGCCGAAAATGACTTCTAGATATTGAAATCTACAAGAAAATGTCTTCAATTAATTTTCGAAAATAGTTGAAAAATGGTCGAAAAAGTCAAAAGTGCCAAAATCACTCTTATCTCATCAAATACTAGCCCCGCCCACCCACCCTCTATTTTCATATAAACCATGTCATTTGCCAAAATCAGTCTTATCTAATCAAATACTAGCCCCGCCCACCCGCCCCTATTTTCTCAGAGGAAATGTCATTTGCCAAAATCAGTCTTTTTTTAGCAAGTAGTAGCCCCGCCCACCTTCCCTATTCTCATTTTAACGACTGACTTTTTTCCGTTTAGTATAAGATCATTCATTTTATTGAGATTGGATAAAATCAATCATTGAAAAGAAGACAGGGTGGGTGGGCGGGGCTAATTATGTTCATTAGTCAAGTGGGAGTGGACATTAATGATAGAATGTAGGATGTGAAAAAACTAAAAAAAGCGCTAATCTCTAAAAATAGCTGTATTTCAATTGGCGATTTTGGAAAAACGTTGGAATTTTCGAAGAAACGAAGCCGAAAATGACTTCTAGATATTGAAATCTACAAGAAAATGTCTTCAATTAATTTTCGAAAATGGTTGAAAAATGGTCGAAAAAGTCAAAAGTGCCAAAATCAGTCTTATCTCATCAAATACTAGCCCCGCCCACCCACCCTCTATTTTCTTAGAAACCATGTCATTTGCCAAAATCAGTTTTATGTAATCAAATACTAGCCCCGCCCACCCGCCCCTATTTTCTCAGAGGATATGTCATTTGCCAAAATCAGTCTTTTTTTAGCAAGTAGTAGCCCCGCCCACCTTCCCTATTCTCATTTTAACGACTGACTTTTTTTCCGTTTAGTATAAGATCATTCATTTTATTGAGATTGGATAAAATCAATCATTGAAAAGAAGACAGGGTGGGTGGGCGGGGCTAATTATGTTCATTATTCGAGTGGGAGTGGAAATTAATGACGGAATGTAGGATGTGAAAAAACTAAAAAAAGCGCTAATCTCTAAAATTAGCTGTATTTCAATTGGCGATTTTGGAAAAACGTTGGAGTTTTCGAAGAAACGAAGCCGAAAATGACTTCTAGATATTGAAATCTACAAGAAAATGTCTTCAATTAATTTTTGAAAATAGTTGAAAAATGGTCGAAGAAGTCAAAAGTGCCAAAATCAGTCTTTTCTCATCAAATACTAGCCCCGCCCACCCACCCTCTATTTTCTTAGAAACCATGTCATTTGCCAAAATCAGTTTTATGTAATCAAATACTAGCCCCTCCCACCCGCCCCTATTTTCTCAGAGGATATGTCATTTGCCAAAATCAGTCTTTTTTAGCAAGTAGTAGCCCCACCCACCTTCCCTATTCTCATTTTAACGACTGACTTTTTTTTCGTTTAGTATAAAATCATTCATTATATTGAGATTGGATAAAATCAATCATTGAAAAGAAGACAGGGTGGGTGGGCGGGGCTAATTATGTTCATTAGTCGAGTGGGAGTGGAAATTAATGATGGAATGTAGGATGTGAAAAAACTAAAAAAAGCGCTAATTTCTAAAAATAGCTGTATTTCAATTGGTGATTTTGAAAAAACGTTGGAGTTTTCGAAGAAACGAAGCCGAAAATGACTTCTAGATATTGAAATCTACAAGAAAATGTCTTCAATTAATTTTTGAAAATAGTTGAAAAATGGTCGAAGAAGTCAAAAGTGCCAAAATCAGTCTTATCTCATCAAATACTAGCCCCGCCCACCCACCCTCTATTTTCTTAGAAACCATGTCATTTGCCAAAATCAGTTTTATGTAATCAAATACTAGCCCCGCCCACCCGCCCCTATTTTCTCAGAGGATATGTCATTTGCCAAAATCAGTCTTTTTTTAGCAAGTAGTAGCCCCGCCCACCTTCCCTATTCTCATTTTAACGACTGACTTTTTTTCCGTTTAGTATAAGATCATTCATTTTATTGAGATTGGATAAAATCAATCATTGAAAAGAAGACAGGGTGGGTGGGCGGGGCTAATTATGTTCATTAGTCGAGTGGGAGTGGAAATTAATGATAGAATGTAGGATGTGAAAAAACTAAAAAAAAAGCGCTAATCTCTAAAAATAGCTGGATTTCAATTGGCGATTTTGGAAAAACGTTGGAGTTTTCGAAGAAACGAAGCCGAAAATGACTTCTAGATATTGAAATCTACAAGAAAATGTCTTCAATTAATTTTTGAAAATAGTTGAAAAATGGTCGAAAAAGTCAAAAGTGCCAAAATCAGTCTTATCTCATCAAATACTAGCCCCACCCACCCACCCTCTATTTTCTTAGAAACCATGTCATTTGCCAAAATCAGTCTTATCTAATCAAATACTAGCCCCGCCCACCCGCCCCTATTTTCTCAGAGGATATGTCATTTGCCAAAATCAGTCTTTTTTTAGCAAGTAGTAGTCCCGCCCACCTTCCCTATTCTCATTTTAACGACAGACTTTTTTTCCGTTTAGTATAAGATCATTCATTTTATTGAGATTGGATAAAATCAACCACTGAAAAGAAGACAGGGTGGGTGGGCGGGGCTAATTATGTTCATTAGTCGAGTGGGAGTGGAAATTAATGATAGAATGTAGGATGTGGAAAAACTAAAAAAGCGCTAATCTCTAAAAATAGCTGTATTTCAATTGGCGATTTTGGAAAAACGTTGGAGTTTTCGAAGAAACGAACCCGAAAATGACTTTTAGATATTGAAATCTACAAGAAAATGTCTTCAATTAATTTTCGGAAATATATAGTTGAAAAATGGTCGAAAATGATAAAAGTGCCAAAATTAGTCTCATTTCATCAAGTACTAGCCCCGCCCACCCACCCACCCTCTATTTTTAGACAATGTCATTTGCCAAAATCAGTCTTACCTTAGCAAGTACTAGCCCCGCCCACCCACCCTCTATTTTCTTAGAGAGTATGTACATTATTTGCCAAAATCACTCTTACCTTTGCAAGTACTAGCCCCGCCCACCCGCTCTCTATTTTTTTAGAGGGTAAAATGTGACAAAAATAACCATAAAATATCAAGAAGGCGACGAAAGAAGGCCATAAATATTTATAAAAAAAAGGAGAACGTTTTCTTTGAACAATACCATTATTTAAAAACATGTTTCAGATGGTAATTTCGTTTAGAAAAATAAGAATTTTTCAATTAGGCTCCGGCCTCAGCCTACGACGATTAAAAAAACACCATAATTGAGTTAGGGAGGGTGGGCGGGGCTTATATTTTGCTTTTTTTCCTTAATATACTTGTTCTTTTCACAATAAGAAATTTAAAACATATTTAAAATGGAAAATTTTTGTAGGAAAATATGGATTTTGGAATTATGCTCCGCCCCTCGGTCTGACAACGAATAAAAAATTTATTATAATTGAGATCGGGGCAGGTCTAGGTGGGGCGTAATCTTTGACTTCCTTTCTTACTTAATAATTGTAGTTTTCTTTGAACAAAATGAGTATTTAAGAACATGTAACATGTTTCAGATGGTAATTTTATGCAGAAATATAATAGTATAACAATAATAGGACATTTGTTAGATAATAATAGATAATAATAAGAAGATAATTCCAAATCCATACGGGAGCTGGTTGTCAAAATAGCCCATTTCTGATTAAAATTTTTTTAATCTCTCAAAATTTGTCCCTTTTTGTTTTGGCGATTTTGGAAAAAGTTGTATATAAATCAAGCCATAAAAAACTTCTGCAGTTCAAAATTAAGAGAAATTTTACACGAAAATGTCAAAGTAAAAAATTTATTTTTTAAGCATTTCAAAATTTGTCACGTTTCATTTTGGCGTTTCCAAAAAAATTGTAGAAAAAACGTTTCGAAAAAATAAAGCTTTAAACAAACTTCTGGTGTTTTAAATAAACAAATTAAAATTTTTCAAATTTAGAGACACCACACCAATAAATCACGTTCATACATAATACCACATGCTAATTACTCATTACCATACCGTCTAAGGCACATACCCACAATTTACTCCGCCACATTAATTTAACCCGAGCGACATTCATAATGCATTAACACCTCATAAATAAACCCATAAATCACCCCAGCGACCATCTGCCCCATAACCCGCAGCACCCGTAACCAGAAACGCAAAACTTTTGACACTTGCTCCACTTTATCACTAGATTTCTCCATACACACTTTCAAATTGCAAATACCCGCTTCAAACAACAACTTGTTGTTTACGCCGATTTTTCAAAAAATACCCAAAGTAAATGTGGCTCAACCAGTATAAAAGCGCCGAGGAACCGCCGAATAACCAGACCCAACCATCCACTCAACCAGAATGATCGCTCAAGTACTTAGTATAATCATAGTTTTGTAAAAATGGGTTCATTGTTTTGTTACAGGTATTCATCGTCGCCGCTTTGGCCGCCGCCGCCAGCGCTGGCATCGCCACCTCCTACGCCATCGGCGGCATCGGCCTGCGGGGGCTTGGGGGCATCGACGACGGGATAGGTCTCGAGGGGGGAAGACTCGGCGGACTGGGAATCGTGGGGCACGGGATTGGTCTCGAGGGGGGCAGACTCGGCGGACTAGGAATCGTGGGGCTTCGTGGAGGCGCTCTGGTCGGAGGGCACGAGCGCGTAGTCGACGTTTACGTGAGTACTTACCGTTTTTGGAAAATTTTGACTTATTTGTGTTTTTTTTTTTGGAAATTAGACTCCACCCAGGTACGAGTTCAAGTACGGAGTCGGGGACCCCAAGACTGGTGATCGTAAAGAGCAAGCCGAAGCTCGTGTTGGGGATGTGGTGAAAGGTGAGTACTCTCTCGCTGAGCCTGATGGTACCATTCGGGTGGTGAAGTACACCGCTGATGACCACAATGGGTTCAACGCGGTGGTGTCCAGGATCGGGCATGCGGCGCATCCTCAGGTTCTTCTAGCTAGAGGAGGGCTTGAGTTGGGGGGGATTGGGCTCAAGCGGTTGATTTAATGGTTGTTGTTGATTTTGTATTATACTAGTCTCTTGATTGGGCTCGACTTCAAGGGAGCTTTTGTTCTGTAGTGTAGTTGATGAGTCAATAAACAATAAATGTTTACCCAAAGTTGGTGTATGATTTACGTAACCAAAAAATTTTACTTTTGAAAAAAAGTGGTCTAAAAATCCCCAAAAAATTCCAAAAACATAGAGTGTTTTTTGAAATTTTTAAAAGTGCGATATTTCGCTGGGCGATTTTGGAAAAACCGTTGGAGTTATCGAAGAGATGAGGCCGGAAGTGACTTATGCAGCCCGCAATCCTCAAGAAAATGTATTTAGTTGAATTTCGAAAATCGTCGAAAATGGGTCGAAATTTACATAAAGACTTTAAGGGCCCGAGATACTTCCACATTAAAAAAAAAACACTAGGGAGCCCCAAGATTCTTTCACATTCTTAAAACAAAAAGCTAGAAACCCCTGGGACTATTTCTCATTTTTAACGAGATTTTGTTTCTATAACGATAAAATATCGGTACCGATAAAATGTGGTCGTCTTTTTTTTTCGCATCTGAAATTTATACTTTCGTCATTTATCGCTTCGTTATCGCTTCGTATTGTATCGGTAGAAACAAAATCCTACCCCTCAGGAGTCTCCAAAATTTTTCCACATTTTTAAAATAAAACCAACAGAGGCCTTCCAGATTCTTTCGCAATTTAGAAAAAAATTACTAGGAAGTCCCCAAAATTCTTTCAAATTCTTTAAAAAGGGGACACTTGGGGCCCCAAAGTACATTCATATTCTTAAAAAAAAAGCAGTAAAAGCACCAGAGATTTTTTCACATTCTTAAAACAAAAAACTAGGAACCCCAAGATTCTTTCTCATTCTTAACAAAAAAAAAGACCAGAGGGGCCCAAAATTCTTTCCAATTCTTAAAGACATTAAGCCTCTTCGAAGTTTTTCCACATTTTTTTAAAAAAAGGACACTAGGAGGCCCTCAAGATTCTTTACATTCTTAAACTAAAGATGTTAGAGGCCTTTGAGATTCTTCTAAATTCTTAAAAAAAAGACACTAGGTAGCCCAGGGATTCTTTGGCATAGAAAAAAGTCACTAGAAAGTCTCCAAGATTCTTTCACATTCTTAAAACAGAAGCTAGAAACCCCTGAGATTATTTCTCATTCTTAACGAAAAAAGACCAAGGATCCCCAAAATTCCTCCAAATTTTTAAAATAAAACCATTAGGGACCTTCGAGATTCTTTGGCAATTTAGAGAAAAATTACTAGGAAGTCCCCAAAATTCTTTCACATTCTTTAAAAAGGGGACACTAGGGGTCTCAAAGTCCATTAATATTCTTAAAAAAAAACATTAAAAGTACCCGAGATTTTTTCACATTCTTAAAACAAAAAACTAGGAATCCCAAGATTTTTTCCCATTCTTAACAAAAAAAGACCAGAGGGGCTCAAAAATATTTCCAGTTCTTAAAGACATTAGGACTCTTCGGAGTTCTTCCACATTTTTTTAAAAAAAGGACACTAGGAGGCCCTCAAGATTCTTTACATTCTTAAACTAAAGATGTTAGAGGCCTTGGAGATTCTTCCAAATTCTTAAAAAAAAGACACTAGGTAGCCCAGGGATTTTTTGGCATAGAAAAAAGTCACTGGAAAGTCTCCAAGATTCTTATTTTTCATTCTTAATGAAAAAAGACCAAGAATCCCCAAAATTCTTCCACATTTTTAAAATAAAACCATTAGGGGCCTTCGAGATTCTTTCGCAATTTATAAAAAAATTACTAGGAAGTCCCCAAAATTCTTTCACATTCTTTAAAAAGGAGATACTAGGGGCCCCAAAGTCTATTAATATTCTTAAAAAAAAAACAGTAAAAGCACCCAAGATTTGTTTACATTCTTAAAACAAAAAACTAGGAACCCCATGATTCTTCCCATTCTTAACAAAAAAAAGACCAGAGAGGCCCAAAATTCTTCCCAATTCTTAAAGACATTAGGACTCTGCGAAGTTCTTCCACATTTTTTACAAAAAGGACACTAGGAGGCCCTCAAGATTCTTTCACATTCTTAAACTAAAGATGTTAGAGGCCTTCGAGATTCTTCCAAATTCTTAAAAAAAAGACACTAGGTAGCCCAGGGATTCTTTGGCATAGAAAAAAGTCACTAGAAAGTCTCCAAGATTCTTTCACATTCTTAAAACAGAAGTTAGAAACCCCTGAGATTATTTCTCATTCTTAACGAAAATAGACCAAGAATCCCCAAAATTCTTCCACATTTTTAAAATAAAACCATTAGGGGCCTTCGAGATTCTTTCGCAATTTAGAAAAAAATTACTAGGAAGTCCCCAAAATTCGTTCACATTCTTTCAAAAGGAGACACTAGGGGCTCCAAAGTCCATTAATATTCTTAAAAAAAAAAACAGTGAAAGCACCCGAGATTTTTTTACATTCTTAGAACAAAAAACTAGGAACCCCAAGATTCTTCCCATTCTTAACAAAAAAAAAGACCAGAGGGGCCCAAAATTCTTCCCAATTCTTAAAAACATTAGGCCTCTTCGAAGTTCTTCCACATTTTTTAAAAAAAGGACACTAGGAGGCCCTCAAGATTCTTTCACATTCTTAAACTAAAGATGTTAGAGGCCTTCGAGATTCTTCCAAATTCTTAAAAAAAGACACTAGGTAGCCCAGGGATTCTTTGGCATAGAAAAAAGTCACTAGAAAGTCTCCAAGATTCTTTCACATTCTTAAAACAGAAGCTAGAAACCCCTGAGATTATTTCTCATTCTTAACGAAAAAAGAGCAAGAATCCCCAAAATTCTTCCACATTTTTAAAAAAGGAGACACTAGGGACCCCAAAGTCCATTAATATCCTTAAAAAAAAAAACAGTAAAAGCACCCAAGATTTTTTTACATTCTTAAAACAAAAAACTAGGAACCCCAAGATTCTTCCCATTCTTAACAAAAAAGAAGACCAGAGGGGCCAAAATTCTTCACAATTCTTAAAGACATTAGGACTCTTCGAAGTTCTTCCATATTTTTTAAAAAAAGGACACTAGGAGGCCCTCAAGATTCTTTCACATTCTTAAACTAAAGATGTTAGAGGCCTTCGAGATTCTTCCAAATTCTTAAAAAAAAGACACTAGGTAGCCCAGGGATTTTTTGGCATAGAAAAAAGTCACTAGAAAGTCTCCAAGATTCTTTCACATTCTTAAAACAGAAGCTAGAAACCCCTGAGATTATTTCACATTCTTAACGAAAAAAGACCAAGAATCCCCAAAATTCTTCCACATTTTTAATATAAAACCATTAGGGGCCTTCGAGATTCTTTCGCAATTTAGAAAAAAATTACTAGGAAGTCCCCAAAATTCTTTCACATTCTTTAAAAAGGGGACACTAGGGGCCCCAAAGTCCATTAATATTCTTAAAAAAAAAACAGTAAAAGCACCCGAGATTTTTTTACATTCTTAAAACAAAAAACTAGGAACCCCAAGCTTCTTCCCATTCTTAACAAAAAAAAGACTAGAGGGGCCCAAAATTCTTCCCAGTTCTTAAAGACAACAGGACTCTTCGAAGTTCTTCCACATTTTTTACAAAAAGGACACTAGGAGGCCCTCAAGATTCTTTCACATTCTTAAACTAAAGATGTTAGAGGCCTTCGAGATTCTTCCAAATTCTTAAAAAAAAGACACTAGGTAGCCCAGGGATTTTTTGGCATAGAAAAAAGTCACTAGAAAGTCTCCAAGATTCTTTCACATTCTTAAAACAGAAGCTAGAAACCCCTGAGATTATTTCACATTCTTAACGAAAAAAGACCAAGAATCCCCAAAATTCTTCCACATTTTTAATATAAAACCATTAGGGGCCTTCGAGATTCTTTCGCAATTTAGAAAAAAATTACTAGGAAGTCCCCAAAATTCTTTCACATTCTTTAAAAAGGAGACACTGGGTGCCCCAAAGTCCATTAATATTCTTAAAAAAAAACAGTAAAAGCACCCGAGATTTTTTCACATTCTTAAAACAAAAAACTAGGAACCCTAAGATTCTTCCCATTCATAACAAAAAAAAGACCAGAGGGGCCCAAAATTCTTCCCAATTCTTAAAGACATTAAGCCTCTTCGAAGTTTTTCCACATTTTTTTAAAAAAAGGACACTAGGAGGCCCTCAAGATTCTTTACATTCTTAAACTAAAGATGTTAGAGGGCTTTGAGATTCTTCTAAATTCTTAAAAAAAAGACAATAGGTAGCCCAGGGATTCTTTGGCATAGAAAAAAGTCACTAGAAAGTCTCCAAGATTCTTTCACATTCTTAAAACAGAAGCTAGAAACCCCTGAGATTATTTCTCATTCTTAACGAAAAAAGACCAAGGATCCCCAAAATTCCTCCAAATTTTTAAAATAAAACCATTAGGGACCTTCGAGATTCTTTGGCAATTTAGAGAAAAATTACTAGGAAGTCCCCAAAATTCTTTCACATTCTTTAAAAAGGGGACAGGGGACACTAGGGGTCTCAATGTCCATTAATATTCTTAAAAAAAAACATTAAAAGTACCCGAGATTTTTTCACATTCTTAAAACAAAAAACTAGGAATCCCAAGATTTTTTCCCATTCTTAACAAAAAAAGACCAGAGGGGCTCAAAAATATTTCCAGTTCTTAAAGACATTAGGACTCTTCGGAGTTCTTCCACATTTTTTTAAAAAAAGGACACTAGGAGGCCCTCAAGATTCTTTACATTCTTAAACTAAAGATGTTAGAGGCCTTGGAGATTCTTCCAAATTCTTAAAAAAAAGACACTAGGTAGCCCAGGGATTTTTTGGCATAGAAAAAAGTCACTGGAAAGTCTCCAAGATTCTTATTTTTCATTCTTAATGAAAAAAGACCAAGAATCCCCAAAATTCTTCCACATTTTTAAAATAAAACCATTAGGGGCCTTCGAGATTCTTTCGCAATTTATAAAAAAATTACTAGGAAGTCCCCAAAATTCTTTCACATTCTTTAAAAAGGAGATACTAGTGGCCCCAAAGTCTATTAATATTCTTAAAAAAAATAACAGTAAAAGCACCCAAGATTTGTTTACATTCTTAAAACAAAAAACTAGGAACCCCATGATTCTTCCCATTCTTAACAAAAAAAAGACCAGAGAGGCCCAAAATTCTTCCCAATTCTTAAAGACATTAGGACTCTGCGAAGTTCTTCCACATTTTTTACAAAAAGGACACTAGGAGGCCCTCAAGATTCTTTCACATTCTTAAACTAAAGATGTTAGAGGCCTTCGAGATTCTTCCAAATTCTTAAAAAAAAGACACTAGGTAGCCCAGGGATTCTTTGGCATAGAAAAAAGTCACTGGAAAGTCTCCAAGATTCTTTCACATTCTTAAAACAAAAAGCTAGAAACCCCTGAGATTATTTTTCATTCTTAATGAAAAAAGACCAAGAATCCTCAAAATTCTTCCACATTTTTAAAATAAAACCATTAGGGGCCTTCGAGATTCTTTCGCAATTTAGAAAAAAATTACTAGGAAGTCCCCAAAATTCTTTCACATTCTTTAAAAAGGAGACATTAGGGGCCCCAAAGTCCGTTAATATTCTTAAAAAAAAAAAAACAGTAAAAGCACCCGAGATTTTTTTACGTTCTTAAAAAAAACTAGGAACCCCAAGATTCTTCTTATTCTTAACAAAAAAAAAGACCAGAAGGGCCCAAAATTCTTCCCAATTCTTAAAGACATTAGGCCTCTTCGAAGTTCTTCCACATTTTTTACAAAAAGGACACTAGGAGGCCCTCAAGATTCTTCAAAATTCTTAAACTAAAGATGTTAGAGGCCTTCGAGATTCTTCCAAATTCTTAAAAAAAAGACACTAGGTAGCCCAGGGATTCTTTGGCATAGAAAAAAGTCACTGGAAAGTCTCCAAGATTCTTTCACATTCTTAAAACAAAAAGCTAGAAACCCCTGAGATTATTTCTCATTCTTAACGAAAAAAGACCAAGAATCCCCAAAATTCTTCCACATTTTTAAAATAAAACCATTAGGGGCCTTCGAGATTCTTTCGCAATTTAGAAAAAAATTACTAGGAAGTCCCCAAAATTCTTTCGCATTCTTTAGAAAGGGGACACTAGGGGCCCCAAAGTCCATTAATATTCTTAAAAAAAAAAAACAGTAAAAGCACCCGAGATTTTTTTACATTCATAAAACAAAAAACCAGGAACCCCAAGCTTCTTCCCATTCTTAACAAAAAAAAGACTAGAGGGGTCCAAAATTCTTCCCAATTCTTAAAGACATTAGGCCTCTTCGAAGTTCTTCCACATTTTTTAAAAAAAGGACACTAGGAGGCCCTCAAGATTCTTTCACATTCTTAAACTACAGATGTTAGAGGCCTTCGAGATTCTTCCAAATTCTTAAAAAAAAGACACGAAGTAGCCCAGGGATTCTTTGGCATAGGAAAAAGTCACTACAAAGTCTCCAAGATTCTTTTACATTCTTAAAATAGAAGCTAGAAACCCCTGAGATTATTTTTCATTCTTAATGAAAAAAGACCAAGAATCCCCAAAATTCTTCCACATTTTTAAAATAAAACCATTAGGGGCCTTCGAGATTCTTTCGCAATTTAGAAAAAAATTACTAGGAAGTCCCCAAAATTCTTTCAGATTCTTTAAAAAGGGAACACTAGGGGCCCCAAAGTCCATTAATATTCTTTAAAAAAAAAAACAGTAAAAGCACCCAAGATTTTTTTACATTCTTAAAACAAAAAACTAGGAACCCCAAGATTCTTCCCATTCTTAACAAAAAAAAAGACCAGAGGGGCCCAAAATTCTTCCCAATTCTTAAAGACATTAAGCCTCTTCGAAGTTTTTCCACATTTTTTAAAAAAAAGGACACTAGGAGGCCCGCAAGATTCTTTCACATTCTTAAACTAAAGATGTTAGAGGTCTTCGAGATTCTTCCAAATTCTTAAAAAAAAGACACTAGGTAGCCCAGGGATTCTTTGGCATAGAAAAAAGTCACTAGAAAGTCTCCAAGATTCTTTCACATTCTTAAAACAGAAGCTAGAAACCCCTGAGATTATTTTTCATTCTTAATGAAAAAAGACCAAGAATCCCCAGAATTCTTCCACATTTTCAAAATAAAACCATTACGGGCCTTCAAGATTCTTTCGCAATTTAGAAAAAAATTACTAGGAAGTCCCCAAAATTCTTTCACATTCTTTAAAAAGGGGACACTAGGGGAACCAAAGTCCATTAATATCTTAAAAAAAAAAACAGTAAAAGCACCCAAGATTTTTTTACATTCTTAAAACAAAAAACTAGGAACCCTAAGATTCTTCCCATTCATAACAAAAAAAGACCAGAGGGGTCCAAAATTCTTCCCAATTCTTAAAGACATTAGGACTCTTCGGAGTTCTTTCACATTCTTAAACTAAAGATGTTAAAGGCCTTCGAGATTCTTCCATATTCTTAAAAAAAAAGATACTAGATAGCCCAAGCACACTTTTGTATTAAAAAAAACACTAGAAAGCCTCCAAGATTCTGTCACAATCTTGAAATAAAAACATTTGGGGCCTTCGAGATTCTTCCCAATTCTTTTAAAAAAAGACACTAGGTAGCCCAAGGATTCTTTGCATACAAAAAAAAATCACTAGAAAATCTTCAAGATTCTTTTATATTCTTTAAAAAGATGACACTAGGGGCCCCGAGGTTCTTTCATATACTTAAAAAAAAAAAAAACTGTAAAGGCCCCCGAGATTTTTTCAAATTCTTAAAACAAAAAACTAAGAACTTCAAGATTCTTTCCCATTTTTAACAAAAAAAGGACCAGGAGGGCTCAAAATTCTTCTGAATTTTTAAAATAAAGAAACTAGGGGTTTCCGAAATTCTTCCACATTCTTTAAAGAGTGGATACTCGGAAGCCGCCAAGATTTTTTGACATTCTTCAGTATAAAAAGATAACACTAGGGGAAATGATATACATAGTGGAACATCTCTTTTTTGAAAAAGTCGTCTGAAAATTCTCAAAAAATTCAGGATCTTTCCCTTGCTGATTCCAAAAGTATAGCGTGTATAGGGTCACGGGTCGATATTTTCGAAATATTCTGTGGAAATTCGAATTTTCTAGAAAATTCTAGAAAAACGATTGGAGTTATCGAAGAAATGAGGCCGGAAGTGACTTCTGTTGCCCAAAATCCACAAAAAAATGTGTTAGTTAAATTTCGAAAATTGTAAAAATTTTACTTTTCAAAAAAGTTGTCTGAAAATCCCCAAAAAATTCTAAAACACAGATTTCGAAGTTCTCATTCCAAAAATATCTAGGTAGTACCTCATTAGCACTCGAACACACGATATGCTTTTGGTTAGTAAAATATTGCATCATTTCACTCACAAATAATCTATTCAAACAAATAAGTTGTTTACTTGAATTTTTCGAAAAATATCTAAAGTAAATGTAACTCAACCAGTATAAAAGCCCCGAGAAACTGCCAAATAACCAAACCCAAACATCCACTCAAGCCAGCAGAATGATCGCTCACGTAAGAAATCTTCACTGAACACCAACACGATTACCAATCACCACCATTCACAGGTGTTCATAATCGCCGCCGTCGCTGCCGCCGCCAGCGCCGGCATCGCCACCTCCTACGCCATCGGCGGCATCGGCCTCCGGGGGCTGGGAGGCATCGACGACGGTATAGGTCTAAGAAGACTGGAAGGTCTCGACGATGGTTTAGGCTTGAGAAGACTCGGCGGAGAGAGAATTGTGGATGTTTACGTAAGTACCACTTTTCCACAATTTTTCAAATCATTGTTTTTTGGAAAATAGGCGCCGCCTAGGTACGAGTTCAAGTACGGCGTGGGCGACCCGAAGACTGGCGACCGCAAAGAGCAGGCTGAAGCTCGCGTCGACGACGTGGTACGAGGAGAGTACTCGTTGGCCGAACCCGATGGTACCATAAGAGTGGTCAAGTACACCGCCGACGACAAGAATGGGTTCAACGCTGTGGTATCCAGGATTGGGAAAGCCGCACACCCTGAGATTATTTTGGCCAGGAGAGGAATCGAACTGGGGGGAATCGGACTCAAGCGTTGGTTGTAACTGGTGGTTCATCTTCGGGAGAGATTTTGTTGTATATATTGTAGTCGAGTAAAGGAACAATAAATGTTTACTTAAAAACCGTTGTTATTTTTTTATTTAAGAAAATCGTTTGGTACTTTTTTATTTAAAACGAAACTAAGTACTAACTGAGTTTGGGAATAGTGGGTCAGGAAATCCCCAGATTAGGATAATATATTTTATTTGAAGACTTAAAAAGCTTTTAAATGCTTAGATGTAACATAGTTACAATTCACACAAAAATATAGAGTATGCTACGGAATGAGTAATTTTTGGCTGTGGCTTCATCTTCACTGTAAAATAATATAGTACAGGTTTTTTTTTGGTACGTTGTTGCACTGATGTTTCTTAGGCCTTGAGGTTGAGAAATTATTTCAAAAATATTTTGAAAAACCACCAAAAATCAGTTTAGTTTTAGTCCAGAGCCGGCCGGCTGCGATGACTATCAGAAACAATTATTGCTGCATAATACATAATAATTAGGTAACATGTTAATACAAATTCATATTCATTATTGCAACTTCACTCGTAAAAAATCGCTTCGGAATTGGAGCAATATCACGACGTGGGCAGAACAAACCAAAAACGACCACCAAAAACGCAAAAATAACTAAACGAAAACCGGTCATCCCGGGAAACTTTCCTCTCCGTAAATCACCCGATTTTTAGCTCGACTTATCGCTAAAATATCCACAACAACCACGATTCTTAAAATCACTCAACCGTAAACTAAACCAGGCTATTACCGGCAAAAATGTCGCTTACGCAACAATCGCCCCCATTTCATCCCCCAAACCCTCCCAGAAAAATTAACCTCGCACCTAGTGGGGGTGAAAACGCGAACTTTCAGCGCAAACATTCAATGGGCGGCAGTTTTTTCGAAAACGGTTAAGGTGAAGGGGTTTTCACGATATATAACCAGCAACGCCGGTACTCCGGCAGTACTCAAGTCGCACCAATTCTTCCAGCATGCTTCCCCAAGTAAGTACCTTCCGGCTGTGACAACAACGATGTTACGCAAACCGGTACCACTTTCTGACGCAATTTAAGCGACGACGTGGTCATTGCAGGTTTTGGCTTTGGCGGTCCTGGTGGCCGGCGCCAGCGCCGGAGCGATCGGCCTGGGGCTGGGTGGTCTCGGCCTGGTGGCTCGCCACGATGTGGGGGTGGTGGATTATCACGTGAGAACCAGCGGTGTGGTGGTACCGGATTTGATTTTGTGATTTGCAGACTCCGGCCAGGTACGAGTTCAAGTACGGAGTGGGGGACCCGAAGACTGGCGACCGCAAGGAGCAGGCGGAAGTGCGGGTTGGGGATGTGGTCAAAGGGGAGTACTCTTTGGCGGAGCCTGATGGTACCATTCGGGTGGTGAAGTACACCGCTGATGACCACAACGGGTTCAATGCTGTGGTGTCGAGAGTGGGGCATGCGGTGCATCCGCAGCCCATTTTGGTGTCGAAAGGGCTGGCTCTGGGGGGCATCGGGCTTGGAGGACACATTTTGTAAGGAAAGGTCGGATTTGTGGGGCTGAAATGGATTATGGCAAGCGCTGCTCATCTCTTCTAGTGTTTTTTTGTAAATATGCTGCTCTATGTGTTATTTATCTATAATAAATAGTCGTTCTTAATCATGGGTGATTTTATTTGAAACTGCTACCACTTTACTACCATTAAAAAATTAAAATGCATGGGTTGGTTTTGAGCTATTTTCCCCAAAACCATTTCGGAATCGTTGCAGTGAGAACAGACTTCAAGTTTGCTACAATTCCTTTCTTGGCGCACTTATCCCTCGCGTCGAAAATTTCTTGAATCTTCGGCCCCATGTGCTTCAATTTGAAAAGTTTTTGAGCGTCATTGTGTACACTTTCGTCAGTGATCTTTTCTCCGCCTGGAAGTTTCTGCTTCTGGCCAAGAACCTTTATCAGTTCGTCGTGCTTTTTTAAAGCGTCGGTTAGATTCACGATAACTTTCATGTTGGCCTTCTTTCCAAGACTCTTCTGACTGAAAAGGCAATAGTTTTAGAAAAAACTGTTCTCAAATTCCTAGAACGTACCTTTCCAAATTTAAGTAGATGTACTCTCTGTAAGTGTCGTACGCCGACGTCATGGCATTATTCTGCAAATAATACGCAAACTTGGCTGCACAGTCACTTATGAACTTCCGTTCGTCCTCGAGTTCATTTCTTTCCTGTGTCAGCTTCTTGATTAGTCTGTCGAGCTTCTCGCGTTGTTTTTGTTCGCTCGTAATATTCGTCTGCACGCCTTCGTCCACGATCTGTTTTTCAACAATTCTAGTATCGTAGTAAATATTCATATGTTTCGAACCAGGACACTCGCAGTGTTTACAATTGAAACCCCAAGTCATCTGGCTGCATGCCCTCAGGCTCCAGTGGCCTAGTATTTCGTAATTCACTTTTCCTAGTACACAAGGATCATGGCATTTCGTTTTATACTGAAACTTTGTTGTGTTACCGACCTAGAAAAAGTGTTGCTTGTAAACACGGCAAGAAAGTACACCCAAAACAATTGTTTCTTACCTTGACGGGTTCCACACAACTTGCGTTGGTGCAGACCAAAACTGCGTGGTCGAGAGTGATTATTTCCAAGTCGATGGCCGACTTATACAGTTTCTTTTTCAGTTCTTCAATGCTCACACCTGCTTTCTTCGATTGTTCATCTTTTCCTTCTAGTTGGATGATCTTTTCTTGCAAGAGCTGCGAAATATCGGACAACGGTTTCGACAGCTGGAGAACCAAATCCTTCGTTTTGTTAATGCTGATGGTCTGCTTGAGGTTGTGCGGCTCCAGCTCTTTAATATATGCCATAAATCTAAAAAACCAGAGAAGAATTTTTCGTTGAGTTACTTAATTATGAATACCTCAGAATTTCTTCGCAAGAGATTTTCCAGCTCTCCTGACAGCTTCTGATCGTCATCTCTCGCAAAACCACCTTGTGTTCTAGCGCCAACAAGTGCTTGAAACTCTCATTATCGAGACAAAAAACGTTCTGCTTCGTTATGGGAATGACTATATCTTTATTCTCTTTGGTAATTTTCGCCGTCAGTTCCCTCAGGATAGGCAGCGTGGCACCTGCGGTGTAGTCACTGCCTTTGGCGTTCGTGAACAGGAAAACCACGTTCCTGCAGGCGCTTTTATGGAACTGCGACAAGACTCTCTGGACGCAGTAGCTGAACAACGTCGTGTTCCTGTCGTTCGTGGGCTTCATAAGCAGGCAGATGGCGTTGATCTTGTTCAGCTGAGCCAAGTAGGCCAAAATTTCTTCGCAGTTTTGGTTGTCCCTTTCCACGCCCTCGGTATCTCCAAGTCCTGGGGTGTCGATCAGGCGGATGAGTCTGTCCCCTCCGGCGGGGAAAACGTACGTTTTGACCGACTGGGTGGCTGACGAGCCCACTTCTTGTCTTTCGTTGCCGTCGTCACCCACCTTTATGGACTTGTCTTCTCCAGTTTTGGCGTCGTAGACTGTGACTCGGGTGGGTATGAGGACCACGGCTTTCGATTTTCGGGCAATATCGAAGGTTTTGCTGTTCACGTAGTTGGCGAAGGAGTTGATGAAGGTGGATTTGCCGACACCGGTTTCTCCGAGAAGAAGGATGTTGGTGATGTCGGGGGTGTCTTCAATGTGGAGACTGGCAGTGGAGACAGTAGGTTCCTGCGAATGATAAACTTCTTAGGTTTTTTTTTGGAATTTTAACTCCTTTCTTGTCGTATTATAGAACACGTATACGCGACGGAATAAGATGTGGAGTTCCAGCTACGAGCTTGGTGTCGGTGTCGGTGTCGAGGTGACCGACACCAAGCTTGTCGCTGAACCGAGTCTGAAGATCGGCGTATAACGCCGCGCAATAGAAAGAGAGAGAGAAAGAGAGGGAAAGAAAGAAGAAAAGAGAGAGAGAGAGAGAGAGAGAGAGAGAAAAATATACTATCAAACAGCATGTACATGAAACGCTTCATAAAGTGGTGCACCCCCAGGATGCTCAAAGAAAACACAACCTACCCCGATTGCCAAAATCCAAACAGTATGTAGACCACAATGATCCTCAAGATGCAGAAGTCATGCACAGCTAACTCGTGAAACTCTGTCTGAGTGCAGAGGTTGCTCGAAGAATTATTCTTGCATGAAAGTATATTGCGGTCAGGCCATTAGTGTGTGTACGCGTTGACGGGCAGCGCCTCCTGTTCGCGGCGGTAGTAACTAGCGACTCAAGCGACAAGAGCGAGAGTAGCGTGGGCGTCATCGAGAGGGTGCTACGGTCCATGCTATAACTATTTAATAAAATGTGTTCGTTTGACCAGAGATAATAGAGTTACGACAGCTTTTGAATTCTTCATAACAAATGCATGGGAATGAAGCGAACACGAAATATGACATAAAGGACCGGTGGGGGGTGCAAGATTTGTAGTGGTAAACCTAATATTACTAAACGTGACATAACGAACGAAAAACGCGAACTCTGAGACAACCTCAATTAAATATGATGCGATGGTTAAGAATTATATTTAACAAATAATATGTTGTTAGTAAGCACAGGGACAGTTTTATAAAAATAACACTGATAAGTAAACCGATGATTTTCTACACCTATAATTAATTATTAACTCATTGGAATTGGTAAATGCTCTATGAATGGGACAAAATGATTAATTTCCTCTGTTTTATAGGTTGCTTCTGTAGTTCCCTATTATGGAATTTCAATGTATAAAATATACTCAATCAAATGAATTAATGAAAGCATGAGAAAATTAATGACGTCGTATACGTGTTTAATTTATATAACTTGACAACGCAGAGTTAAAACTCCATCTGTGCGTCCCTGGGTCGACGCACTCCTTTTTTGTTCAAAGAAGTTAAAGGAATCCTGGGAACCATTGGTGTTTTGGTTTTGAAAGCATTTGAAATAATCTTGAGATCTCTAGATCCAATTGAATTGACGTAATAGTTTGATAAACTTAATGGCTTATTTTCATCCGTGCATCAAGTCACGTATGCTTCGCTGAATTCTCGTTCTTATCTTTGTTATCTGTTACAAACTGTCCACGTCGTTGGATCGGGGAGATACCCATTTCTGGATAAATAGACTGATCCATAAAGCAAAGGCAGGTAACAAATATTTCGTAACAAGGAATCAAGTGTATCCTTTCTGAGAGTACAGTAAATTTCAACAAGAAAAGACAACTCACCGACTTATCCACAGGATCTTCCCTCCTAGTCTCTTCCTTCCTAGTTTCTTCCTTCCTAGTCTCTTCCTTCCTAGTCTCTTCCTTCTTAGTCTCTTCCTTTTTTTCTTTGAAGGGCTTCGACGTCGCGCCGTCGGTCGTCTCAGAAATTTCGCTTTTAGCATCAGAGTTTGCTTTCACCTGTTTCAGCATCTCTATTTGATTACGTAATTGCTCGATCATCTCGTCTTTACTTTTAATCAAAAGATCCTTAACTTGTATAACTTCATCTTTCTGATTTAGAAGTAGCTGGTATTCCACTCCGGCCACATTCGTTGAGGGGTTTTTACACGACGTGCAAGTAAATGTCGAAGAGTTAACAGGCTTACCATCGTTCAGACTTTTGGCACACGTTGGGTGGAATCTACAGGAACACTGGACACATGTAATGGAGGTGAAAACTTTCTTGTTGCACTTTTTGCAGAGTGCATTACTCATCTTTGAGGTGGTCGGAGCCATTTTGGAGGGTCAGAGAAGGCAGAACCTTGTAGGAGCTTTCATCGTTGTTATCTTAAGATAAACTTGTTTACGGAGAGTTCGTTAGTTATCCGGAAAAAAATCTTGAAAAAATGCGATTCTTCGAATGGATTAGATTTCATTTATCTTCTTTTGCAATACGATCTAAAAACAGTTCTGTAAATCCCTGGCGTTCAAATAAGGAAATATTTTATCAAAAGATAAACACCTTCGATTCGCTTTTCCCCTCTAAGAGCGCATTATTTGTCCGTTGTAGTCAGTTCAAACGCGTCTTTCTAACCCAAAATGTTCGACAACTCCGAAATCGAGGATTCGCCCAACACGATCAACATCCTGTTGATGGGCGAAACCGGCGTCGGAAAATCAACGTTCATCAACTCGTTCGCCAACTACATCCGCACCAGCAACTTCGAGGAGGCCAAAAAAATGAAAACCCTCATGCTCATCCCCACCCGGATCACCGTCTACGACGCCAGCTCCATGGAGGACCGCAGCCTGACCATAGGTTCCGACAAGAACGAAAAGCAGGATGTGGGTTCCTCGGCCACGCAGGGCGTCAAAACCTACTTGTTTCCTCTAGAGGGCGAAAACTTGCTCCTGCGCTTCATCGACACGCCAGGGATCGGGGACACGGCGGGTCCTGACAAGGACGACCAAAACTGCGAAGGAATTTTGTCGTACTTGTCGCAGCTGAACAAGATTAACGCGATTTGTTTACTGATGAAGCCCACGAATGATCGAAACACGGTGCTTTTTAGCTACTGCGTGAGGAGGCTTTTGTCGCAGTTGCATAAGAGTGCGTGCGATAATGTCGTTTTTCTGTTTACTAATACCAAGGGGAGCGACTACAGGCCTGGGGCGACGTTTACTATATTGAAGAGTCTGGTAGAGGAAATAGCGACTGAACCGCCGTTTGTGAAAATCCCGATTAACAACACTAACGTTTTCTGCCTGGACAACGAGAGCTTTAAGTACTTGCTGGCTTTGGATTATGGCGTGGAGGTCAATGCACGCACGCTGGAAAGCTGCAAGACGAGCTGGCAGATTTCCTGCGAGGAGATTTTAAGGTAATTAGCTAATCGGTACCAACGTAAATAAAAACGTTACGTTTCAGATTTATCATCTACGTCAAGAATTTGCCTGCCCACAACGTGAAACAAACCATAAGCGTCAACGAAACTAGAGAATTTATTCTGAAACTGTCGAAGCCGCTATCCGACATCTGTCAGCTGTTGCAGGAAAACATCATCACTTTAAAAACGAAAGAAGAAGAATCGGCTAGAGCGAACCAGACGATCGATGAGCTTAAACGACATTTGTATAAACCGGGAGTCGATTTGAAGATTATAACCCTCGAGTATCCTGCTACGGTGTGCACAAACTTTAGCTGTGTTGACACAATAAAGGTGATCAAACATCGATTCGAACAATAGAATTTTTACAGTGGAACGATTTTAGGTGGGTCGGAGCATCAAGATCGTCTACAAAACGAGATGCCACGAGAGGTGCCTTCTGGGTGTCGTCACGTACGACGTCATAGGCCACTGGAGTCTTGTAACTTGCAGCGAGATGTCCAAATTCAAAATTCCGATTTCTTGCAAGCACTGCGGATGCTCCTACAAGGACCACATGACGATTTTCTACGACACGAGGGTCGTGGAGAAGCAAATGATCGATGAAGAAGTCGAATCCGAACTTCACAATGAAGAAAGGCAGCGCCAAAAAATTCTGGCGCTTGTCGAGGCAGTAAAAGTGGAAAAACGCGAACTCGAGAGAGAACTGGACTACATAAGCCAGTGTGCGGCGAAATTTGCCTACTTTCTTCAAAATAACGCTATAACGTCGTCGTACGACAACTTCAAGGAATACGTTTACTTGTCGCTGCAAAGGTAGAGAAAAGTTTTGTAAAAAAACACTTATTTAAATTTGTTTCAGGCAGAAAAGTCTTGGGGACAAAGCTAATCTGGACGTCGTGGCGAGTTTGACTGAGATTTTGACCAAACACGACAATTTGCTGGCGATATTGAAGGAGAAACGTTCGCTTGTCGATGGGAGAGAAGTGACGGAAGAAAGCATCTACAGAGATGCGGAAAGTCTGTTCAACTTGAAGCACGCGGGACCCAAAGTTAAGGAGATTTTTGATGCTAGAGCTGCCTGTGCGAAGAAAGGAGTCAAAGCTCATTTCAAAACTATCGTGTCGGAGAAAATCCCGAAGTGGTTTTTCGGACGTGCTTCCGAATAAATTGAAACATTTACATATTATGTAGTAATCAGTAGAATTGGTTGGGGGTACAAAAATTAACACGTGAAAATAAATTGTTGTAGTTTCAAGTGTAGCTGGATTAGTTTCATTAAAACTAGCTTTGACATGGCTTTGTTTTTTGTTCATATAAAACCACAAACGGAAACGAAACTATTTTGAAAACAATGCATATAATAAGTGTTAACAACATAACAATTGCACAAGAACAGCGGGGAAGACATTAATGGTAGTCGGGATAGATCGTAGATCCTCCATTCTCCAGTCGTGGAAATGCTTGCGTATCAAACTTCGATAATTCCGAAGCTTTGTTCTGAATATAAGATACCGCTTCCAAGGCTTTATTGAAAAACCAGGGCGGAATTTTTTTAGTGATAACAGACTTGAAGTTTGCTTTAATTCCATTCTGAACACACTCTGTTCTTGCATCGACAATTTCTTGAATCTTGGGCCCCATACGCTCCAGCTTAAAAAGTTTTTCAGTGTCATCTTCTATGCTTTTAGCAGTGATCTCTTCTCCGTCTTGAAGTTTCTTATTCTCCTTAAGAAACTTTATCAATTCATCGTGCTTTTCTAAAGCGCTCTGTAGATTGGTAACGACTTTGGAATTAGCTTCGCTTCCAAAACTCCTCTCTCTGAAAAGATGATTAATTAATAGTTTAAAAAAAAAATTGAACGGAAGTAATTTAGAGTGAACTTTCGGCGACATAGCGAAAATAAGACAAAAGACAGACGGTAGGAACGTAAGTACCTTTCAAGTGATAAGTTGAGGTACTCCCTGTAAATATCGTATGCAGTCGTGATGACATTGTTTTCTAAAAAATGCGCAAACTTCGCAGCACACTCGCTGATGAACTGCTCCTCCTTGATGAGTTCTTCCTTTTCCTGCACCAAGCTCTTGATGAGTTCGTTTAGCTCTTCGCGCTGTTCTTTTTCGCTCTTGATAGTCGTCTGCACACTTTCGTCTACGACCTGCTTTTCCACAATTTTAGTTTCGTAGTAGACATTCACGTGCTTCGAACCAGAACATTGGCAGTGTTTACAAATGAAATTAAAGAAACCGATTTGGTTGCAAAACCTGAGACTCCAGTGGCCCACTTTTTCATGGTTAATTTTTCCTATCCAACACCGATCCAGACATTTCGTTTGATGACAAAACTTTGTCTTGTTTTCGACCTGGAAAATGTGTTAGTTGTAGATAGAGTCAGAAGATGTAGCCAACAGAGATTTTTCTTACCTTTTCGAGCTTTGGACAACTCGAATTTGTACAAACCAAAACTGGATGTTTGAGACGAATTGTTTCCCAGTCGACGGTCGATTTATAAAGTTTTTTCTTCAGTTCATTGATGTTTAAGTCTGCTTTCTTCGATTCTTCCTCCTTTTTTTGGAGATCCATGATCTTTTGTTGTAAGAGCTGAAAAATGTCCGACAACGGTTTCGATAATTCAAGAACCAAATTCCTCGTTTTGTTAATGCTGACGGTGTGCCTTACATCATGAGGCTCCAGTGCTGTAACGTGATCCACGAATCTAAAAAATTAAGCCAGAGACGATTTTTTTATTATTACAGAGATAACTCAGTCATAAAAATGCGACTAGTGTGTCATTTAAAACAGCGACCAGGATAGATCTGATAGATGAATTTTATAAAAATAAAACTTGGCCTTCGGAAGAGCTAATGTGGATAATTTGGAAAAGTTATCAGGTTTATAAATCAGATTTGTATAAATACAATCTGGTGAAAATGAGGTGAACTTAAAAAAAATGGTTCTGTGGAACAACAGAACTTCCTTCGCCCCCGGAGTACATTCCAACAAAGCCTGCTTCTTTGAAAAATTATAAAAATTGTTTGCAATTTTTGTTTTCTCATAACCTCATCTAAATCGTAAATAACACCCCGCAACTTTTTTGCCTTGAATTGTTCAATTCTTTTTATTTTGCATTTTTTTTGTTTCTACAGTTTTTCGATTTACAGTTTCTCGAGTTTTTAATTTTTCATTTTTCAATTTTTCGATTCTTTAATTTTTCATTTCTTCAATTTTTCGATCTGCAGTTTTTCATTTTGGTTTTTTATTAATTTTTATTTTTACAATTTTTTATTTTTTCAGTTTCATTTTTTTCAATATTTCGTTGCTTCAATTTTTCGATTTGCAACTTTTCAATCTCCTAATGTTTCTTTTTCTTCAAATGTACAGTGTGTAACTTCGAGTTTTCCTTTTAAATTTTTAAATTTTTCGATAAGATAAATTCAGTGTAATACTAACAATAATTATACTATATTTACAAATTTTCGGAAAAGTGGAGAGAGTCCTCCTTGATTTTAACTAGTACAATAAATTTTCTGAATTGTTAATTTTTTTGGGCCACCTTGTATAAGAAGTTCTAAAATCTATGAGTGCATTGATAAACGACAATTATAGAGTTATATTTTGCATATTTCATTAGATGACGTCAGAAATTTTTTCAAAGGGGATAAACGAATAAATTTTGATTAAAAATCTACCATGCTTACGATAACCTTAAAACGCTTGTAAGATTTCGGAGCATTCGGTTTTGCGTTTTCAAAGTTAGACTACAAAATGTTAAAGAGTTTTGATTTTTTTTCCCAAAAATCTGGATATCTAGGGTAAAAACTGAACACGGATTTTAGTTAGCGCATTTTCGTCTACACGATGTTCCGAATACACAGTAGCAGACAAACAGACAGAAACGGGAAAACGGAGACCTATTTTTTCGTACTCTAGGGATCGTGAAACGTCGAGCAAACATAGAAATAGCTTACGCTCAGAAGGTAAACTTTTTATTAATTTAATCGAGTAGTTCTCATTAAGTATGAATAAATTATTATTAAGATGCATACCTCCGAATTTCTTGGGAAGAAAATTTCCAGCTGGTCCGACAGCTTTTCATCGTCGCCATCGACAAAGCTACCTTGTGCCCTAACGCCAGCAATTGTTTAAAAGGATCGTTGTCGAGACAAAAATAGTTCGTCTTCGATATGGAAATATTCTCCGTGATTTTTGTCGTCAAGTCTAACAAAATGGGCAGCGTGGAACCTGGAGTATAATCACTGCCTTTGGTATTCGTGAACAGAAAAACCACGTTCTTGCAAGCGCTCTTGTGAAACTGCGACAAGATCCGTTGGACGCAATATTGAAAAAATATCGTGTTCCTTTCGTTCGAAGGTTTCATTAATAAACAGATGGCGTTTATATGATTTAGTTGATCCAGATAAGCTAAAATTTCTTCGCAGTGTTGATCGTCTTTTTCCACACCCTCGGTGTCCCCAAGCCCCGGAGTGTCGATCAGGCGGATGTGTCTGTGGTCCGCTGGGAATACGTACGTTTTAACCGACTGGGTGGCCGACGAGCCCACTTGTTGTTCTTCGTTGTCATCTTTGCCCACTGTTATGGTTTTCATTTTTCCATTTGCGTCGTAGACTGTGACTTGTGTTGGTATAACGACAACGATTTTCTTATTTTTGGCCTCGTCGAAGGTTTTGCTGTTCACGTAGTTGGCGAAGGAGTTGATGAATGTGGATTTGCCTACGCCAGTTTCGCCAAGCAGAAGGATGTTAATGGTGTTGGAGTCATCTTCCGTGTAAAGATGGGGGATGCAGTCACTAAATCTCTCCTAAATAATTAAGTGTCTTTGATGCAAATAATGTAAGAACCATCCGAATTAAATAAGGGTTCAACGAAAAAAAGCCGCATTGGGATCGGTTCAAGCGTTTGCCAGCCTACAGATACACACATGGAGAGAGACAAAGCGGTCAAAGTTATAAACACACTTTTTTTCGTCGGGGTTAAAAAAACAACTTACCGAATCACTCTTACTGCCTTCATTCGCAGTCCCTTTCTTTTTTTCTTCAACGGTATTAGACGTCGCGCCGTGGGTCGTTTTAGAAACTTTGTTTCCAGCGTTAGGTTTGTTCTTTGATGGTTTTAGCTCACCATGGGCATCTTTCCGATTTGAGGCGCCGCGTTGGGTGGTAGGTACATTTTTTTTTACACTTTTTGGAATAAAACTTTTCTTTCGGGTGGTCGATGACATTTTGAAGGAATATTGAAGGTTCATAGAACATTTGAGGAATGTGCGTAGTCGTTATCTTAAGATAAAATTGCCCAAGGAGAATTCGTCAGCTATCCAGTTGTTTTTCTAACGGGAAAACCCATTTGCGTATATAGGTACTTATACATGAACAAGTAACCTCTTAAACTTTGAATTTGAAGAGTGAAAATCCTGACTATCATTTGTGTATTTACTGATTAGCGGCTGCCATTATTCTTCGCAAGAGATTATTTTTTGCAGAATTTGTTCTTGGCAAAAGAATGCTAAATATGTTTTTAATACGAGTAATACAGTTTCCGAATGAGTTGTAGACACCCCTAGACTTGTCAATTTTATTAATTTAATACGCCGTTCTGACTTGAAAAATAAAACTAATGAAATTTGTTTTTCGCACTTCCGGGAAAACTACTTCCTTCAGAGATTAAAATCTACACCATCGGAGCCAGGAGTACACGACGATGGCAAATATTTAAACCGACATTGTTAACTTGAGAAGACGCCTCAAAACCACATACAAATTTTCTGTAAACTTGTTCTACATACACAGGAGCAAAATACTCCGCAGAAATTAGCAATGTCTTCTTCACCTTGCTCATTCCTCTCCAAATATCAATTCGTCTAGACTAGCTTCATTCGTTTTCTTCTGTCGAACAAACTTGAGATCACTTGAGATACTCATCTTTACCTAACGTAAAACTATCGATATTCAAATAAATATTTTATCAAAAGATAAAACAAGTCGATTCGTTTTTTCCAACTTGCGTAGTAGTTGTCTGTTGTTTTTCAGGTTAAACCGTGTGTCCTCTGCAATTCAAAATGTTTAATCTCGCTGCTGTCGAGGATACGCCCAACACAGTCAACATACTGCTGATGGGCGAAACTGGCGTCGGAAAATCAACTTTCGTCAACTCCTTCGCCAACTACATTCGCACCGACGACTTCGAGAAGGCAAGAAAATTAACAACTCCTCTCGTGCTCATCCCCACCCGCTGCACCGTCTACGGCACGAACTCCATGGAAGGCCAAAACCTGACCGTCGGCTTCGACGAGAACGAAACCCAAGACGTAGGTTCCTCTGCCACGCAGTGCGTCAAAAACTATATGTTTCCTTTGGAAGGCGAAAACTTGCTTCTGCGCTTCATCGATACACCAGGACTCGGAGACACGGCGGGTCCTGACAAAGACGACAAACACTGCGAAGCAATTTTGTCGTATTTATCGCAGCTGGACAAGATTAACGCGATTTGTCTGGTGATGAAACCTTTGAACGATAGGAATACGGTGCATTTTAGCTACTGCGTGAGGAGGATTTTGTCGCAGTTGCACAAGAGCGCGTGCGACAACTTGATTTTTTTGTTCACTAATACCAAAGGCAGCGACTATACGCCCGGAAGCACTTTTGCTCTGCTGAAGGAGATGAAGGCAGAACTGGCGTCTAAACCGCCGTTTGTGAACATCCCGTTGGAAAAAAACAACGTCTTCTGCTTGGACAACGAGTGCTTTAAGCACTTGCTGGCTTTGAATTTTAAGATCGAGCTCTTTTCACGGACCCTGGAAAGCTGCGTGACGAGCTGGCAAATTTCCTGCGAGGAAATTGTGAGGTAACTAGATAATAATATAAATATAACAACCAGTTTTTGATCTAAATTAAATAACTATCTACCAGAGGTTTGACGTTTCAGATTTATCAGATATGTCCAGAATTTGCCGGCCCACAATGTGAAACGGACTATAAGCATCAACGAAACTAAAGAACTTATTCTGAAATTGTCGAAACCGCTGTTCGATATTTGTCAGTTGATGCAGGAAAACATCACCATTCTAAACACGAAAGAACAGGAATCGGCTAGAGCGAACCAAACAATTGAAGAGCTTAAACAAAATTTGTATAAACCTGTAGTCGATATAGAAATTGTAAAACTCGAGAATTCTGCTATGGTTTGCACAGGGTCCAAGTGTGTTGACAAAATAGAGGTAACCACTAATCTCTTCTGGAAAATTTTTACACTAAAAGTGAAACGATTTTTAGGTGGGTCAGATCGCGAAGAGTGCCTACAAAACGAGATGCCACGAAAAGTGTTTCCTGAGTGCAGTCACGTATGACGTCGTAGGCCATTGGCTTCTTGCGACTTGCAGCAAGATGTATACATTCCGATCTGCGCCTTCCTGCAAGCACTGCGGCTGCTCCTACAAGTTACACATGATCACTTTCTACGATACAAAGCTAGTTGAGAAGTCAGTATTCAGCGAAGATGTTGTGTCCGATATTGAGAGCGAAACGAAGCAGCTCCAAAAACTTCAAGAGTGCATCGACACAATAAAACGGGAAAAAGGCGAACTTCAGCAAGAACTGGATTACATAAGCGAGTGTACTGCGAAGTTTGCGTGTTTTCTTCAAAACAACGCTATAACGTCGTCGTACGACAGTTTCCAAGAATACCTTTACTTGTCGCTTCAAAGGTAGAGAACTGTTTTTTGTAAAAGAGAACACGTTTTGATTTCATTATTTTAGAGAGAAAAGTCTTGGGGACAGAGCTAACCAGGCTGTGGTGAACAATTTGACGGAAATTTTGACCAGACACGAGAATTTGGTGAAGGTACTGAAGGAGAAACTTTCGCATGATGTCGAAGGTACAGAAGTGACAGCAGAAAGTCTCTACAAAGATGCGCAAAAACTCTTTAACCTGAAGCATGCGAGGCCCAAAATTAAGGAAATCTTTGATGCCAGAGCTGCTTGTGTGAAGAATGCAGTCAAACCTCCTTTCAAAACTGTTGTGGCCGAGAAAATCCCGAAGTGGTTTTTCAAACGTGGCACAGTGGCACAAAAGTGAAAATACATGGCCAAAACTGTTAAAAATAAACATCTGTTTTTAGTCCCCGACAGAAAACAAGGGGTGTTAATAATTTTGTTTGCTTTTTCTCCCTGCGTGTCTATGGGTCTCCCATTTCCGTCTGTCTGTCCGTCTGTCCGTCTGTCCGTCTGCCGTCCCGGATTTTTATTAGACAGATAATCTCCGAAAGTACTCGACCGATTGTTGTGAAATTTTGTAGCTATATTAAAAATATCATGTAGATGGTAAAACGCTAACCAAAATTTGTCTAGTCATCCCCACCACTAATGCGATGACGTCACTTCAAAATTGTACATAGTAAATGGGTTTTCAATTGTATAAAATAACATAGTCCTACACATGTAGTTTACAACTCTGAATCGACTTTTCACCCGAAACGTCCAGATTTTTGGAAAAAAAATCAAAATTATAAAACAACATTTTGAAATTTATTTTTAATCTGCTAACCAGAATGCTTTGAAATGTTGCAGATGTTTTAAGGCTATAAAGGGCATCATAAATCTTTAGTCAAAAAATATTTGCTTATCCCCTCCAAAAACTTGATGACGTCAGCTCAAAAGTTTGTGGAATAAATCATATCTAAAATGTGCAAAATATGATGAGTCTGTACTTGTGATCTATCACTACATTCATATTTTTTGGATTTGCATATACAGGGTGACTCAAAAAAATTAATGAATGTGTAAATATATTTTATTGATTTAATCAGGAACTACAAAACCGAATGCTCTGAAATCTTGCAGATGTTTTAAGGTCATAAAGAGCATAATAAATGTTTAGTCAAAATATATTTGCTTATCCCCTCCAAAAACTTGATGACGTCAGCTCGAAAGTTTGCCGAATAAATCATATCTAAAATGTACAAAATATAATGAGTCTGTACTTGTCATTTATCACTCCATTCATATTTTTTGGTTTGCATATATAGAGTGACTCAAAAAAATTAATGAATGCGTAAATATATTTTATTGATTTAATCAGGAACTAAAAAACGGAATGCTCTGACATCTTGCAGATGTTTTAAGGTTATAAAGAGCATAATAAATGTTTAGTCAAAATATATTTGCTTATCCCCTCCAAAAACTTGATGACGTCAGCTCGAAAATTTGCCGAATAAATCATATCTAAAATGTACAAAATATGATCAGTCTGTACTTGTGATCTATCACTCCATTCATATTTTTTGGATTTGCATATACAGGGTGATTCAAGAAAATAAATGAAAGCGTAAATTTATTTTACTGATTTACTCAGGAACCACAAAACCGAATGCTTCGAAATCTTGAAGATATTTTAAAATTATCATAAGCATGGTAAATTTTTGATCAAAATGTATTTGGTCGTCCCCCCTAAAAAATTTATGACGTCACCACAAAATTTTGCTGAATAAATCCTATCTAAAATGTACAAAATATGGTGAGTCTCTTCTTGTGATTTATCATTCCATTCAAATTTTGTCGATTTGCATATACAGGGTGACTCAAAAAAATTAATGAATGCGTAAATTTATTTTATTTATTTAATCAGGAACTACAAAACCGAATGCTTTGAAATCTTGCAGATGTTTTAAGGTTATACAGAGCATAATAAATTTTTAGTCAAAATATATTTGGTTATCTTCTACAAAAAACTGATGACGTCAGCTCAAAAGTTTGCCGAATAAATCGTATCTAAAATGTACAAAATATGATGACTCAAAAAAATTAATCAAGGCGTGAATTTATTTTATCGATTTAATTAGGAATTACAAAACCGAATGCTTTGAAATCTTGGGAATATTTTAAAGTTATTATAAGCATGGTAAACTTTTGTTCAAAATGTACCTCTCCGTTAATGGAGAAAAGACGAAACTAATCCTGTTCACCAGGAAAAGGAAAATTGGTACACTACAGATGCCAAAAATATTTAACACAACGCTTCAACTTTCGGACGAAGTCAAATACCTGGGAGTTGTATTGGACTGGAGACTGAATTGGAAGAAGCATGTAGATGATAAAGTAGAAAAGGCACGCTCGGCTCTTTGGCAATGTCGTAGGGTGGTGGGAAGGTCGTGGGGTTTAAATCCCAAGATCGCCCTCTGGATCTACACGGCAATAGTCAGACCGATGCTGTGCTATGGAGCTTTAGTAT